TATATATATATATATATATATATATATATATCGATGTGCATGTATAAATGTATATATGTATGTAGATGTATCTAAATGTGTATATGTATGTATATGGGTATATGTGTATATGTATGTAGCTGTAGGTATATGTATGTATATGTATGCATATGTATGTATGCATATGTATGCATATGTATGCATGTGTCTGTCTGTCTGTCTGTCCGTCTGTCCGTCTGTCTGTCTGTCTGTCTGTCTGTCTGTATGTATGTGTGTATGTATGTATGGAGCGATCTCAACGGTCATTTTCGGGAAGGAAAAGGGGGAAGGAGCGTGCGGTCGGTGGCGAGGCGGCTGGGAGGATGGGGCGGGGGGCCGCGCCTGATGGCCGCGCCCGCGTAGAACGCGGCGCGGCGGGTGGCCGCCGCGGCGCTCGCTCCCCTCCCCCCGCGCTCCTCTCTCACCGGACGCTCCTGGCGCTCCTTGCCCCGCGTGCAAGACCCAGGCACAAAGCGAAGCGAAGCGAACGCCGGAGTCGTGCGCGCTCCACTGGGGAGCCCGCCCTTGCCCATCAGGGCATCGCGTGGAGGCCGTGGCCTCGAAAGTGTGCAAGACCAAGGCACACGGTCTCCAGAAACTCTGTAACGATTCTGGGCCCCGCTTTGCTAAGTCTGGTGGTGCATTCCTGCGACAACTCGAAGCTGGGAGATGCTGTAGCACCCGCGCACTCGTGATCGGGCCTAACGGCCAGCTGGCGCGTGCTATGTACCTCTCTCGCTCGGACACGAACGGCCCCCGAAGGTCTCAAAACAGCACCAGACCAACTCATAGGGTGGCGCGGGGGTCCGAGAGAAGAAATCAACTAATCGGCACTGGCACAGCATCCGCACTTGTGACATTGGCCCAAATCGCCCGAGATCTGAAGACAGGAACGCTGCGAGTTCAAAGCGGCGCGCCGCCACCTCTGGGCATTGGCGCTGCGCGCTCGCACCTGTGGAGGACGGGGGGGCCTCTGACCCTCCTTCTGTAACGCATCCTCCATGACACGCAGCAGCTGTCCTTGGACTTTGCGAGCGAGACCGCCAGCCATCCGAACCGACGGCATAGGGGACGCGAAGTTCAGCCTCGAATTCGTCGGCAGTGGGGTCAGCCATGGCGTTAGCAATCGCATGTCCAAAGTTGGCCCCCCGCCCCCCAAATGCGAGCTCCCAGCGCACCCGGAGAAGCACCTGAAGACGCGGAGAGAGGCTGGTCGGGAGGGTCGGGGACAATCGGTCCAAGATCGGGGCGTGGGGCCGCGAAGCCAGAAGCTGGGGCGCTCGGTCGCGGCCCGCTTTCCCCTCCTCGCGCAAGCCTTTGGGATCTCCGAAACTTCTGAACTGCACGGGCATTCCCCAAATCTGCGCACGTCAGTCCTGAGCCCTCGATGGCAGCGATGGCGCTGCCATTCACATTCGCGTCAACGCTGAGGACGCGAAAACGAGTCCAGATGGCACCCGCGAGAATCGACCTGAGGATGCCAGCTCGCTTCGCGTCTTTCTTGCGAAGGTGGGCAAGGTGGCTGCGAGCCACGGTGAAATCGATCTCAAACCCCGACCCACCTCTGTTGCGGAACTTCTCTCCACTGAGAAAAGACTCGAGGCGCCACGCCAACAACTCTCCACACATAAGAGGCCTGAGACAGGGATCCCGTGAGGACGAGCTTGGGTCTTACTTTACGCGGGGAAGCTCTGGCCAACTGGTTGATTCGGGAAACACGCCTATGGGCCTGGGCCAGCCTCTTCGAGTGGCTGGGCTTGGAATTCTTGGCTCCACTGCCCCGTTCAATGCCTAGGTCAGCAACCACAGACGCGACATCTACCATCACCCCATGTAGCCCTAAACCAGCTTGGATCTCACGCGCCGACGAAAGATCAGAAGCGATGATGGTTGATGCCAGCTTCAAATTATTCTTTGCACATTCCTGAGCAACAACGAACCCCGAGCATACAGGGTGGGACACGACGTCGCGACGTATCCCCTCCGCCCTCTGGGTGACATCGTCGATCCATGCGCGAAGCTGAACTAATGAGCCACTGGCCACAGTGATCTCGCACACCGAAAACATCTGACAGTTAGCAAAGTCAGGAGCCCGCCTCGCCCCTGCCACGAGACCACTCTGCGGCGAGACTGCTGGCGCAACACATCCAGTCCCCCAAGACACGGGGGCCCATGTGCAGACGCGCTTCCAACGACGAACAAGTGGCAGGGAACCCCGGGCGGATGGCGCGGGCAGCTACTTTTTGTCCAGCGAGGGGCCTCGCGCAGAGGCCTCGACGCCCCAAGCATTCGACGCAGAACAGAACTCGGGCAGCGCAGAAGACAGCGCCGCCTCGTCGGCGCGGCATCTCGGCAGAGCCCTCGCAGAGCGCGGCTGCCCCGCGCCGCGGCGTCCCAGAGGTCTGACCGAGCGCCGGCCCAGACCTCCGCGGGGCGAGACCTCGCGGGGCCCAGCAGGCGACCCCGCCGAGTCGGGAGGCCCATGGCACGATCCTTGCGCACATCAGGCTTCCTTAGACAAAAAGATGGCAGCGAGCCGCCGCGAGGGCCATGCAGCACGCCGCTCAACAGGACGAAAGTTCAAGCAACTGCTGGCGGCCGATCCCCGGCAACCACCAAGCATCTCGCCGATGACCCCCATCGACGCCTGCCGCCCACGAGGGAGAGATCGCCGTCACAGCCTCTTCGAGCACACCAAGTGTGAGCGGCGCAGAGGGAAGTCTATCAGGCGACCCCGATGATGATGATGATGATGATGATGATGATGATGATGATGATGATGATGATGATGATGATGGATGATGATGATGATGATGATGATGATGATGATGATGATGATGATGATGATGATGATGATGATGATGATGATGATGATGAGGATGATGAGAGGAGGAGGAGGAGGAGGAGGAGGAGGAGGAGGAGGAGGAGGAGGGAGGAGGAGGAGGAGGAGGAGGCGAGGAGGAGGAGGAGGAGGAGGAGGAGGAGGAGGAGGAGGAGGAGGAGAAGGAGGACCGAAGCTTTTGGGCGTTGGGGCCCTCTTGGGCAAATGGGCGTAACCTCGTCGCCAGGGAAGGGGTCGAGAGCTTGGGGTCCATGGGTCAAGAGGCATCGCGACGTGTGGGGCCTGAGGTAGGGCGACGAAATCTATACATATCCACTGCTCCATGGTCAGGCCCATCCTGAACCCAGCAGCTGTGTATGCGCCACTCCCTCCTGGCTCGGCCAGGAGGGCTTATACACAGCTCCTTGGCCCAGGAAGGGCCTGGCCAGGTAGCAGTGGACATGCAGTGATTTCGTCGCCCGATGAAAGGGGAAACTTCCTGCCAGGTGGGTGGCTTGCCCAAGGCCTGGAGACAGATGCCATGGGCTCCCCTCTCGCCACGCTGTGACGGCGTGGCGTGCTCTCTGTGCTGGCCGTCACTCTGATTAGGTCGGGCATGTCGTCCTACAGGCGGATTTTGGAGGACAAATGAACATAGATAAAAAATCACTCAACAATTGTCAAGAATAGTAGAAACATCGTCCCCAGACTTTTTTCTGGCTTTTGATTATTCCTCCTGCAGAGGGACATGCCCGATACCCACTCCGAGCCCATGTGCGGGTTCCTTCTCGACGGTGCACTGGAGCTCTCTCGACTCGGCTCAGTTGCACGTGCCTGAGCGGCTATAGTTTGTATCCTGCCGCTCGTCCCACCGTGCATCAGAGTCAAGCACCTCAGGGGTCCTGGGCACCTCGAGGTCGTGCCGCACCGAATGCCCAGCCTGGTTGTTTTCTCCACTCCGCGGCGCGGAGATTTTTTGCTGATCCGCGGGCCCCATAAGTCTCCACTCCCGGGGCACGCTTCCGTCGCAGATTTTGGTGTTTGTGGTTTTGGGGGTCCGAAATCGACCTCCGAAGGTGGAAATTGGAACTCCAGGATCGCACAGAAAGCCATCCTTCGGGGACCTTGCTCAAAGGTGTCGCCCCCCACCAGACAGAGCCATCGGAGAGTCAGCGAGCCCGAAGAGGTGGCGGCACCTGCTCCTTGTCCAGAGATGGCGTCGTCCACGACCTGCTGCTGCTGCTGCTGCTGCACGCCCTGCGGCACCCCCAACATTGCCGCTGCCTGCGAAAGCGGCGGGAAGCCCAGAGCTTCGCCTCCTCCCTCTGTCACTGTTCCTCGTCCTCGTTCTCGTCCTCCTCTTCTTCTTCTTCTTCTTCTTCTTCTTCTTCTTCTTCTTCTTCTTCTTTTTCTTCATCTTATTCCTCCTCCTCCTCATCCGCCCTCCCTCCCTCCCTCCCTCCTCCCCTCCATTCTGATCCCTCCTCCCTCCTCCCTAATTTCTCCTGCCCTTCTCCTCCTACCCTGCCCTCCTACCCTGCCTCACCCCTCCATTCTTCTCCGCCTCCTCACCCCCTCAGCCCCCTGGAGGCCCCAGAGAGGACCAGCCACCGCCAAAAACCTCGGCCCTCGACCCCTCGACCGCCAACAAACCTCGAACCTCGACCCTCGGACCTCGATCCTCGCTTGCCCCTGCCTCGGGCGCGGCCCATCCGACCCCTACCGTGACCAGTGCCGCCATCCTCGCCTTCCCAGCTCCCCTCCGGCCGCAATCATACGTGGGACGTCATGGAAGGGGATGGCCACCTCGGGGTCTGTCAGGCCGCCCCTGGCTGTCGCGCCCGCTTCCAAGCGCGGGGCGCCGGGGCGCCGCCGGTGCTGTCGCCGCCGCCGCCCTCGTCGTCGTCGTCGTCGTCGCCCTCGCCCTCGCCCTCGTCGTCGTCGTCGTCGTCGTCGTCGTCGTCGTCGTCTTGGCGCCTCCGAGCGCGGGGCGCCGAGGCCCCGCGGCCGCGCCGCGGCGAAACCGCGCGCCGCGGGCCCGCCCTCGGCGGAGTCCCGCCGGCCTCGGCGGGCGCCCCGCGGCCTCCGCCGCGCTCGGCGGAGCGCGCCCTCCGTCGCCGCGGCTGCCGCCGGCGGGCGGCTCGCCTGCCGGCAGCGTGGGTCAGCCCGCCAGCAGCAGCTCGCCCGCGCCGCGCGGGCGGAGCCGCACGACGGAGTGCCCGCGTTCGTCCTTTTGGGGTGGGTGGGTATGGTGGTAGCGGTGAGTATGGTGGTGGTTATGACGAGGGTGGCGATGACGATGACAAAGACGATGACGATAAGGACGACAATGACGATGATGCTGCTGTTGCTGCTGCTGCTGCTGCTGCTGATGATGATGATGATGATGATGATGATGATGATGATGATGGCGGTGATGAGGAATAACATCCGCCGCTCTGCGGTTGATCGGGAGTTTCTGTATATATAGAAGAAGGGGCGCGCGCTTCTGGGCGAGAGGGAAACGACCGAGAGAAGAAGGGGCGGCCGCCCCACAGGACCTCTCCATGGTGCCGGAAGCCCATCAGGGCTCCCTCAGGGCCCCTCCCCCAGGGCCGGGGCTCCCTCGCCTGCCCCCTCCCCCTCCTCCTCCTCCTCCTCCTCCTCCTCCTCCTCCTCCTCCTCCTCCTCCTCCTTCGCCCCCGTCGGCATATCCAGGCGTGTTATGCAGTCAGGTCGTCCGTCCGGAAACGGTGCCGGAGGCCGCTCTGGGCTCCTCTGGGCATCCCCCCCGGGGCCCGTTTTGTGAGGATGTCTCAGGCGAGGGCGCCGGTTTGGGATTCGTCACCGGATCCAGCGGATCCAGCGGATCCGTCCGGAAACGGTGCCGGAGGCCGCTCTGGGCTCCTCTGGGCATCCCCCCCGGGGCCCGTTTTGTGAGGATGTCTCAGGCGAGGGCGCCGGTTTGGGATTCGTCACCGGATCCAGCGGATCCAGCGGATCCGTCCGGAAACGGTGCCGGAGGCCGCTCTGGGCTCCTCTGGGCATCCCCCCCGGGGCCCGTTTTGTGAGGATGTCTCAGGCGAGGGCGCCGGTTTGGGATTCGTCACCGGATCCAGCGGATCCAGCGGATCCGTCCGGAAACGGTGCCGGAGGCCGCTCTGGGCTCCTCTGGGCATCCCCCCCGGGGCCCGTTTTGTGAGGATGTCTCAGGCGAGGGCGCCGGTTTGGGATTCGTCACCGGATCCAGCGGATCCAGCGGATCCGTCCGGAAACGGTGCCGGAGGCCGCTCTGGGCTCCTCTGGGCATCCCCCCCGGGGCCCGTTTTGTGAGGATGTCTCAGGCGAGGGCGCCGGTTTGGGATTCGTCACCGGATCCAGCGGATCCAGCGGATCCAGCGGATCCGTCCGGAAACGGTGCCGGAGGCCGCTCTGGGCTCCTCTGGGCATCCCCCCCGGGGCCCGTTTTGTGAGGATGTCTCAGGCGAGGGCGCCGGTTTGGGATTCGTCACCGGATCCAGCGGATCCAGCGGATCCAGCGGATCCGTCCGGAAACGGTGCCGGAGGCCGCTCTGGGCTCCTCTGGGCATCCCCCCCGGGGCCTGTTTTGTGAGGATGTCTCAGGCGAGGGCGCCGGTTTGGGATTCGTCACCGGATCCAGCGGATCCAGCGGATCCGTCCGGAAACGGTGCCGGAGGCCGCTCTGGGCTCCTCTGGGCATCCCCCCCGGGGCCCGTTTTGTGAGGATGTCTCAGGCGAGGGCGCCGGTTTGGGATTCGTCACCGGATCCAGCGGATCCAGCGGATCCGTCCGGAAACGGTGCCGGAGGCCGCTCTGGGCTCCTCTGGGCATCCCCCCCGGGGCCCGTTTTGTGAGGATGTCTCAGGCGAGGGCGCCGGTTTGGGATTCGTCACCGGATCCAGCGGATCCAGCGGATCCAGCGGATCCCCCCCCCGGAGCGCCCGCCCGTTTTGTGAGGATGTCTCAGGCGAGGGCGCCGGTTTGGGATTCGTCACCGGATCCAGCGGATCCAGCGGATCCGTCCGGAAACGGTGCCGGAGGCCGCTCTGGGCTCCTCTGGGCATCCCCCCCGGGGCCCGTTTTGTGAGGATGTCTCAGGCGAGGGCGCCGGTTTGGGATTCGTCACCGGATCCAGCGGATCCAGCGGATCCAGCGGATCCAGCGGATCCATCCGGAAACGGTGCCGGAGGCCGCTCTGGGCTCCTCTGGGCATCCCCCCCGGGGCCCGTTTTGTGAGGATGTCTCAGGCGAGGGCGCCGGTTTGGGATTCGTCACCGGATCCAGCGGATCCAGCGGATCCAGCGGATCCATCCGGAAACGGTGCCGGAGGCCGCTCTGGGCTCGTGCTCTTCGCGCCGGGGGTGAGGATGGACGTGAGTTCCACAGAAACTCCCGATCCAGCGGATCCAGCGGATCCGTCCGGAAACGGTGCCGGAGGCCGCTCTGGGCTCCTCTGGGCATCCCCCCCGGGGCCCGTTTTGTGAGGATGTCTCAGGCGAGGGCGCCGGTTTGGGATTCGTCACCGGATCCAGCGGATCCAGCGGATCCAGCGGATCCGTCCGGAAACGGTGCCGGAGGCCGCTCTGGGCTCCTCTGGGCATCCCCCCCGGGGCCCGTTTTGTGAGGATGTCTCAGGCGAGGGCGCCGGTTTGGGATTCGTCACCGGATCCAGCGGATCCAGCGGATCCAGCGGATCCGTCCGGAAACGGTGCCGGAGGCCGCTCTGGGCTCCTCTGGGCATCCCCCCCGGGGCCCGTTTTGTGAGGATGTCTCAGGCGAGGGCGCCGGTTTGGGATTCGTCACCGGATCCAGCGGATCCAGCGGATCCAGCGGATCCAGCGGATCCATCCGGAAACGGTGCCGGAGGCCGCTCTGGGCTCCTCTGGGCATCCCCCCCAGGGCCCGTTTTGTGAGGATGTCTCAGGCGAGGGCGCCGGTTTGGGATTCGTCACCGGATCCAGCGGATCCAGCGGATCCAGCGGATCCAGCGGATCCATCCGGAAACGGTGCCGGAGGCCGCTCTGGGCTCGTGCTCTTCGCGCCGGGGGTGAGGATGACGTGAGTTCCACAGAAACTCCCTCAAATGATGCTGATGATGATAATGATGAACATGATGATGACAATGATGGTGACGATGATGATGATGATGATGACGACGATGACGATGATGGTGGTGATGGTGGTGGTGATGATGATTAAGATGATGATGACTAAGATATTGATGACAAAGATGACGAGGATTACGGTAATGATGATGATGATGCTGCTGATGATGGCGGTGGTGATGTTTATGGTGGTGGCGGTGATGCTGGTGGTGCTGATGATGATGATGGTGGTGGTGATAGTGGTGATAGTGACGATGCTGATTGAAAATGATGACGGTGATGAAGAACATGATGATGATGACGATGATGATTGATGATGATGCTTATGATGCTGCTGATGATGATGATGATGATGACTTAGATTTTGAGAACGAAGATGATGGTGATGATGATGATGGCGATGATGACGATACTGATGAAGATGCCGAACATGATGATGATGCTGATGATGATGACGATGATGACGATGATGCAGAAGACGATGATGATGACGATGATGATGATGATGATGATGATGCTGAATATCATGACGAGGATTAACGTGAGCATGATGATGATCATGAGGAATCTGATGGCGATGATGATATGGTGCTGGTACATATAATGATGATAGCGGAGAATATGATGATGCGTACGTGTGATGACGACGATGCTAATGATGATGATGATGATGATGATGATGATGATGATGATGATGATGATGATGATGATGCTGCTGCTGCTGCTGCTGCTGATGAAGATGATGACAATGATGGAGAGAGATTGTGATCCACCGCCGCTTTGCTGTGAAAGTCCCCCCCTCTCCCTCCAGAAACGGGGGGTCCCCCCCCACCGGAAATTCCACCCCCCCCACCCCCCTTGTTCAAACCCCTCCCCCATCCTCCCCCCAGCAAAACCCCCCTCCCCAACGCCTCCCCCCCCCTCAGAAAACCGCGGTGTTTCACGACCGGTTCGACCCCCCCCCTCGGGAAAACCGTGGGGGTTCACTACCGGTTCGAGCCCCCCCCTTTACCCCCAACTCACCGCCAGCAAACGACTACCCAGTCACCACCACCGTCCCCACCACCGCCTCACCACTGTCCCCAGCACCACCGTCTCCAACACTGCACTACTGTCCCCACTGTCCCCACCACTGTCCCACTGTCCCCACTGTTCCCACTGTTCTCCAATGCCCCCACCAGTGCCCCCACCACTGTCCCACTGTCCCCCGTGTCCCCACCACTGTCCCCGCCACGGTCCCACTGTTCCCCGTGTCCCCACCACTGTCCCCACCTCGGTCCCACTCTCTCCACTGTCCTCACCACTGTCCCACTATCCCCACTGTCCCCACCACTGTCCCTCTGTTCCCACTCCCCACTGTCCCCACCGCTGTCCCACTATGCTGTCCCACTGTCTCACTGTCCCCACTGTCCCATTGTCCCACTGTCCCTACTGTCACATTGTCTCCACTATCCCCACTGTCCCCACCACTGTCCCTCTGTCCCCACTGTCACCACCACTGCCCCCATCACGGTTCCACTTTCCGCATTCTCCCCACTGTCCACATTTTTCCCACCACTGTCCCACTGTCCCCACCACTGTCCCACTGTCCCCACCGATGTCCCACTGTCACCACTATCCCCACCGCTGTCCACACTGTACCACTGTCCCATTGTCCCACTGTCCCCATTGTCCCACTGTCCCCACTGTCCCATTGTCCCCACTGTCCCAACTGTCTCCACTGTCCACTGTTCCAGTGTCCCGTTGTCCCGCTTTCCCACTGTCCCCACTGTCCCTCTGTCCCCACTGTCCCACTGTCCCCAGTCCCCACTACCCCACTGTCCCCACCACCGTCCCCACCACCGTCCCCACCATTGTCCCCACCACAGTCGCCCCTCTGGAGTGGGGGAGGAGGGGGAATCGTTTCCCCATCCCAACTGTCCCCACCACCGTCCCACCAGTATCCCCACCACAGTCCCCATCTGGAGTGGGGGAGAAAAGGAGGGGGAGTCGTTTGCCCGCGGCGATTGGGGGCGGGGGGGGGTTCGCACTGGCAGTGACCCCCCCCGCTTCGTGATGGACCGGGGGACTTGGGTGGGGGGGACGGGTTTGGAAACCCCAGTGACCCCCGCAGGTTTTCAAGAGGGGGGGGGGCGGGTTTGAAACCCCCAGTGCCCCCCCCGGTTTTCTGCCAGCAGCTCTGAGGATGATGATCGTATACGCTGTTCGATGTTTGCGTGTCATCCATGCGCACGGGCTCTGCTTATCTGTATCGCTCGAACGTTCATGGATGATTCACGAAAGGGGATACAGTGGTGATGATGATGATGATGATGATGATGATGATGATGATGATGATGCTGATGCTGATGCTGATGATGATGCTGATGATGATGATGATGATGATGATGATGATGATGATGATGTGAGGATTATGATGATGATGATGATGATGATGATGATGATGATGATGATGATGATGATGATGATGATGATGTGAGGATGATAATGATGATGATGATGATGATGATGATGATGATGATGATGATGATGATGATGATGATGATGATGGTGGTGGTGGTGGTGGTGGTGGTGGTGATGAAGATGATTATGGTATCGGTGGAGGCGATGACGTGCCCATCGGAAACGGAGTGCCCCAATTTCCACGGTGACTCAAGAGCCAAGCTCTTCTGGCCTGTGCAGCCTAGCCTTGGGAGGAGTGAGGAGGGATGCAGGGATCGAGCGTCGCAGTATTTCTCTTGAGTAGGGTAGTGTTTTTGGAGACATCGAGCGTCACCGAGGTTGGATTGATCGAGCGTCGCAGTTTTTTTGGGGGATCGAGCGTCGCATGTGGAGGTAAGGGGAAGATTATGCTGCATCATGCTACTACAGTGCTGGACCTAAACGTTGTTTTTCGTTTTGTTTTCATTTTGCCCTACCTGTTTTCCTGTACGTCCCCCCAAAACACGAAAAACAAAACACAGCCGAAGTCCAACAAAACAACGTTTCGGTCCAGCCCTGTGCCCTGTGCTACTACGTGTTGTCGACGGGAATTCGTGAAAACACCGATGATCGGCCTGCTGCAAATCTTCAGCCAACCACATGTAGGCTCCCGTAGTCGGTATGGCCCTCCCATAACGCGTCAGTCGACCTCTGGCCGCCCTCGCCTTGGCCTCAATACAAGAATGCTTTTGCAGCGTCAGCCACCCAGGCCGGGCGACCATGGCACACCGACGACATGATACAACACGAAGCCGAGTACTGGCGCCTGCTGAATGTGCTACTGTCCTTCTCCTTCACCTCCCTCCTCATCCTCTTCCCCCCGCTTCCCCACATCCTCTCTATTCCTTTTGTCCCTCCTCCTCATCCTCCTCTCCTTCCCCTTCGCCGCTCCTCCTCATCTCCCTCCCCCCCCCCCTTCCTTCTCCTCTTCCTCGTCTTCCTCCTCGTCTTCCTCCTCGTCTTCCTCCTCGTCTTCCTCCTCCTCCTCCTCCTCCTCCTCCTCCTCCGCTGGAGCTCAAAGTAGATTGCCACCAAGATCATATCTTAGCTCCCCTCCCCTCCCCTCCCTTCTCTCTTTCCACGACCCGTCTGCCAGCGCACATTCGCCGTGCCCAGCGCGCTTGCGCCGCAAAACTCCAGAACGCCACCCTCCCCTGGGCTACCGCCCCTGGAAGACGCCCTGGAGGGCTCTCCAAGGCCGTGCACGGATACAGCAAAACCGAAAAACGACGAAACCGACAGCGAAACCGAGACCGACCGAAATCGCCACGCCGAGAGCAGCCTAGAAGGGCGCAACGACGCGGCAACGACACAATACATCGGCGCTGCGAAAGTTTTTGCCCGCTTCGTGCTTCCACCAAGACAAATCTTAAGCGGGAGCGCCATCTCCAATTCGAGCTGAAAAAGTGCCGGCCTCTTTTTTCGAGGAAGTCCTGGGCGGGAGCGTCATTTCGAAATCGAACGCGAAACGAATTCTGTTTCGGAGGAAAACTGGGGCGGGAGCGCCATTTCGAAATCGAACCAGAGAGGTTTCGACTTCTAGTTTGGAGGAAGTCTTGGGCGGGAGCGCAAACTCGAAATCGAACCCGAAAATTTCGCAATCGTTCGACATTGCTTCTTTGAGAAATTCTCCAATGAAACAGTTGTTTCGAAACGGCCACACCGTTAGGCATAAATATATTAAATTTCAGACCAGCGATTTCGAACATGTGTTTTTCGTTCGAGTCTTCCTCCAAGAAGCGATCTCACCTGGATTTCGAAATCATCGGGTTCGAATTCGAAATGACGGTTCCGCCCGAAAATTGAGTAAGACAATGCTTGAACAGAACAATGTACTGGGCCCCCGCAACTTAACGGGCCCCATTTGACGTCTCCTCTCTTGTCGCGGTCGCAACGCCACCGACAACGTAGTACCAAGGTCTCGTCGTCCACCGGGAAGCGCTGCATTTCAACCGAACTATCGTAGCGGCAAAATAACCGACCGAACCGAACCGACTGCGACTCATCCGACTGCGACGCAACCGAAAGCGACCGAACCGTGAACACCCTTGCTCTCCCGAGAGGGCCCTCGGGTGCACTTGGGGATGGCAGCTACACGCCAGGACCATCCCTTCTCGGGCTGTCCTGGGCCCTGGGGCGGTGAGCACACGACCTCCTGGCCTTGACCAGGAGGGTCTGTACACCGTCCGGGCAGGCCAGGAGGCGTGTACGACCTCCTGGCCATGACGCCTCACGGCCGAGGCCAGGCTTGGGGTCGGCTGGGAGGGTCTGCACACTGTCCTGGGGCCCAGGATGGCCCTGGCCAGGGATGCTGGCGGTGCATAGCTGCCTCTCTTTGGAGTGCGGCTTCTGGAGCCGCCGATACCCTCCCGCGGCGTCCTGGGTCGGCCGAACCTCGAAGGGCTTGACGCCGACGGCGACGAACTCGCGTCGCATCCTCCAGGAGGGCGGGGGGGGGAGGATGGCCAACGAAAGAGAACGAGCCCGTCGAGTGGACAACGCGTACTACCCGTCGTCGTCGGCCGTCATCGTTGTCAGCCGCCGCCGCCGCCACCGTCGTCATCGTCGTCGTCGTCGTCGTCGTCGTCGTGGTCGGCCGCAGGCCGTCATCAGTCGTCGTCGTCGTGGTCGGCTGTCGGCCGTCATCAGCCGTCGTCGTCGTCGTCGTCGTCGTCGTCGTCGTCGTCGTCGTCGTCGTCGTCGTCGTCGTCGTCGTCAGCCGTCGCCGTCGTCGTCGTCGTCGTCGTCGTCGTGGCCCTCAACTTCGCTCGTTCGCGGAAGGGGGCCAGCGGAGCGGGGTCCGGGCGCCCGCGCAGCGTCTCCGGGCCCGGGGGGAGTCCGTGGCGAGGAGGGGTCGGCGTCTTCGGGGCGAGGAGGAGGAGGAGGAGGAGGAGGGGAGGAGGAGGAGGAGGGAGGAGGGAGGAGAAGGGGAGGAGGAGGAGGAGGGAGGAGGGAGGAGGGAGGAGGGAGGAGGAGGAGGGAGGGAGGGAGGAGGAGGAGGAGGGAGGGAGGAGGGAGGAGGGAGGAGGAGGAGGGAGGAGGAGGAGGAGGAGGAGGAGGAGGAGGAGGAGGAGGAGGAGGAGGAGGAGGAGGAGGAGGAGTCCCCCCCCGACGTCGCCCGACGTCGTTTCTTTTGCTGGCCATCGCGCGGACGTCCGTTCCCCGTGCACGTTTCGATGTCGTGCGTGCTTTTTTGGCGAAGCGGTCCAGGATGCTCCTCGATGGTCCGCGCCAGGAAAAAACGCACAGGTCCGAGCGATGCCAAGTTGGCTGGAGAGGACACGCGAGAGGGCACCAGACCCTTCCGAGGGCCACATCGCCATGGGAGGGCAGATGGCACGGGTCGCGAAGCACAGGACTCAGAGGTAGCCCTGATTCGGCAGGGTCGACCTGCTGATTCACTTCGACTGTGGGGGGAGGGCGGAGGGGGGAGAGGTGAGCGGGGGCGGCCAAACTGATTGCGATCGCGCGCCATATCTGAGGGGCGGGGGGGGGACGGCGGACGGAAAAGAGCGATGGCAAGGCGAGGGGCGGAGGCCTCCTCGCCTTCCTCCCATCCCTCGTCCTCGTTCGTCTCCTCCTCGTCCTCGCCCTTTGTGTCATCCTCGACCTCCTCATCCTGCTCGTGGTCGTCATCATCCTTCCCCTCGCCTAGGACCCCTCACCGACGTCTTGTGGACGTCAACGGGCGGGGAGGACGTCGGTGACGCCACCATTGTGCTCACGGGGGTGTTAATCACTATAATCGCCTCCACTGTGATGGCAAGGTTTCACGAGATCCGGGCGGATAATGATGAAGAGCAGGCAGAGATGGATATGGGCACGCTTTGCTTCTCCGCGGTCGGGAGGGGCGACCTTCCCAAGGCTATTTCTCGTACGCGGTACGTTGACTGACCTTGATTGGCGGGGCTATCCGCTGGCACTACTATGCAGAACGGTTTAAGCACACGTAAGGATCGTGCATATGCAGTTGTCAACAAGCTTATACAAGTTTCTGACTTGAGCTACGCGATTGTCAGACGAAAAGACCCCAGCACTGATGGAAATAGAGAGCGGTGGCATCATGGATGCGATCGGTTGGCTCGAGCTCCGCGCTGGCTACAGATGCTGGATGTGTGCTGACCGTACAGAACAAACATTCGATTATGCTAGAGACTGGAGAGAATTGTGCTGGCTCGGACTTCCCGCTCGGCGACGGCACGCGGACGACGGCATGGAGAGAACAACTTGCACGATGGAATTTGTACAAATGTCAAACGAAACAAAAACATTGAGTACAACCGCGTCAGAGGACGGTAGCCGGGATGAGGGAGATGAGGTCTATCATCGCTTCGTTGTTTTAAATCATTTCTTCGTATCGCCCTACTGCTCAAGATAGTTAAGCGAGACTTTGTACAGCTCGGATGTCGTCATCCGAAGAACTCCGATTCGATCCGCGTTCGCAAGAGGAGACGAGGGGCACGTTCGCATCCCGAGTGCTCGATGAGGGCGCCGTGAGAATCTCTGTTATGCGGCACCCCTGCCTCGATCGGAAAGGAAAGGGCGACCGGGGGACGATTCTTCCCCCTCTGAGCCAGTTCCACCCTGTCGGCGCACCTGATAGTTCCACTGTGGAGAAGAGCCAGCATCAGCACAGTCTGGCGGCCGAGCCTCGTCGGTCGTCTCGGCCGCGGGCTGAGAGGGGGTTGGTCCAGGCCGCCCTCTCTGGGCTCGCAGATGGCGGTGTCCTTCGCAAAGTGGCTTGCCATCGTGCGCGTCGAATACGCTGCGCGCAGCCACAGGCAGACATGAGCTGGATCGCATCGTGAAATCTGGTCTGATCGGCAACGGATCAGATCGCGCCTGAATCGGAGCGGAATCGAATCGTGATCGGATCGCTTGGGATCGGGGATCGGGCTTTTCAAGCCAGAGAGGGAATCGGTTCGTATCGGATCGGATCTAGATCAGGATCGAAACTTGGGGGGATCGAGTCGAATCGAATCGGACCGTGATCAACCCTGACAAGCCTAGAAGATAATGGACGGTTAGTCGCTGCAGGTGCCTGTTTTATCTGAGTTTGAGTCTGTCTGGCTGCAGAGAGGTCGATGTTTCCGCTTCCGATTTCCTGACAACGCTAGTGCAATTCCACCCGACAACTGTTACGCCGTGAGCATGGGAACCAACGTGCGTCCTGATCTCAGCCACCACGACATTTAGGCATGATTGAGGAGACGGCTGCTGTGGACCTCCCGGGCGGCAAACGCCGCATCGTGCTCGCTTGCCTGCGGCTTGTACTGGCAGTTGAGCCCAGAGTGCAGGCACACTTCGTCTGGCAGATGGAAAGAACTGCACAAGCATGATCTTCTGGGGCGCGCAAACATGGATTAGCGATCCATGGATTTGGCGCGCGGTCGCCAGGTCCATGGATCGGGGGAAGCGCCCTCCCCCAAATGCGGCCTGTGCCGCCTCGTTCGGCGGCGGAAATCCGCGATTTCCCATGGAAACGGCACCCGTCGCTAATCCACGCCCTTTCGGCACGTGGGGCGTACCAGAGGCTGCGCCGGACGCGCCGTCGAGGGGCCCAAGGGCCCAGCGCCGGCCCGAGACAACCGCGCGGACCTCCGAGAGCTGGTGTTTACTACATGAGCGACGATCCAAAACGGGTCTTGCGCGAGATGGCACGGCGACCTTACGCGGCGGCTTACGCGGGCCGCCAGCGCGGCATGCTGCATTGGAGACGAGTGCGCTTGCCCGCGACCTCATGCGGGCGGCTTGCGCGCCAATGTCGGCGAAGACGACCCGCTTTTTTGCGTCGCTCGCATGCGCTTCACGTCCGTTGTGCCCCCCTCCCGGCGCCGCCCCCCGGCGCCGCCTGGCCCCGCTGTGAGCGGGCCCCGCTGCCTCCTCCTCCCCGCTGTCGCCGGGTGTTCCCCCTCCTCCCCCCGTGCATCGCGGCTTCCTTCGCAATTTTCCCTCCATCTGCTGCCCTTCCGCGAGCGCAGTCGCTCTGCCTGGCCGCCGGCGCAAAAAGGTGTTTCACCTCCGATCGTCCACGGTCGCAGGCTGCTGCCTTCCCCTCGCCCTCCTCGTCGTCCTCCACGAGCGGGGGCGCTGCCGGCTCTCTCCATGCCGACGGTGGCCAGACTCGAGCTGAGCTCATATTTCTGCAGGGACCGACCACAACGATGTTTAAAGCGTGTTGTCGTTTAGATCGAAAACGAGCGAATCCGAAGGTTGGCAACGAACCCTGGGCCTGTCAATCTCAAGAATACTTCCTGAGATTGACAGGCCCAGGGCGATGAAAATCAATATTAGAAATGCGCGCTCAGAAACTGAGGGAATCCCTGAGATCGGCACGGAGCAAGGTGTTGCAAATCAAAAGGACAGGGCTACGCTTCAGGGCGGCGGCATGTCCTCTGCGACCAGCTGTCCCACTGCTCCCCAGACACGCGCTGCTCCACCGACTGCCACCGGATGCCGTCGGTGAGGTGCGCCAACTGCTCCACCTCTGCGCGCGCGCGGCCCGGCAGCGGCGGCGGGAGTGGCGCGACGAGGGGCGGGAGGAGGATGAGGACGAGGCGAACGAGAACCAGCTACGCAGTCTCTTCGCTGATTGCCCCTTTCAGGCTGAGCCCACGGAGGCCACAGCAGCAGGCGGTGGCCCGCTCGGGAAGTGCGCGCACATATCTCCGCGTGCTCCCCGGGCGGCCGCGAAGCTTCACGAGCGAGGGGCGCGGGGGCGACGAGGAGGCGCCCCGCGGGCCGCGGAAGCGCCCCCCCCCATTGCGGGGCAGGCGTGCTGAGCGCCTGGCCTCCTGCCCGCGCGGATCAGGTCGAAAGAGCATGCACGAGGTCGGAATCGCGGCCGGAGGAGAAGCAGGAGGTGGATGGGGCAGGACGCCCTCTCGCTCGTCGGCCCCTCCTTCTCCTTCCTGTGCCAAGCTCCCCCAGCTTGCCGCGGTTTCGGCCTCGATGACGTGACCGCGCCTGCTTGCCCCATGGGCCCTCCGAGGGCGTACACTCTGGTTCAACGAGAACCCTCTCCGTGGCATCAACAACGGCTGGTCTGCTACAAAGGCGGACTTCCAACCCTGTCTGGCCCCGCGGCTTCGCTCCCTCCGCTGCACTACTCCACAAGAGCGGTAACCATCGAATCGGGAGTTCGGATCGGAATGTGCGTCGGATCGGGCCGCATAGGCACTGAGTCGGAATCGAATCGGATCGGCTGCGCCAAGATGCACAACTCAACTGCGCACTGCAAACATCGGACCGCATCGCACCGCTAAAAATTCGAAGTCGAATCGGATCGGGCCTGCCGAAGCTGATATCGGATCGGATCGATCGGAGGAAAGTGGACCCTGCTCCTCCCTCTCTCACCCCCATCCCTCTCCTCCTCCGCATCCTTCCTTATCACGCCCCCCCAACTCCGTGGACCTCTGCCCTGCCTCTGCCCAAGTCGGGCATGACCACACCTCTGCACACCCCCATGTCTTCGCCGACACCCTGCTCAAGCCCCGACTCAACCCTGCCCAGAGCTAACCCTCATGCTACTTCAACCACTGCCCACCCCCCAACACCGAACCCTGCCCAGCACCAACCCAGATCATGCGCCTGCCCAAGCACCGACCCGAGCTCTACTCAAGCCATCTACCCCTGCCCCAATTGCCCCCTGGTCCTGCCCACTTGCAGAGACTGGACATCACGACTTACTTCCGCCGAGCTTGCCTGATCGCCCCATTTGTTTTGGTCACCCACAACGCCTCCTCGGGGATGGACATCGGGCGCTGTGCGGCAGGAGACCGCGGCAGGTAGTACGAGATGCTCATCCAGTCCTCCACGGTCGCCTCCTTGTACTCCTTGAGAGAGACCACCTGTGTCTCCCAAGGCCCAGCGGCACACGTCCAATACATGAACTGGGGCGCGCCCGGGCGTAGGACGTTGTCCCCGACCACAATCGCAGTGTCCGAGAGCATGTTGTTCCTGACTATCACGTCCAGGTCAGTGTGCATCTTGGTCCCCTGTTGATCGAAGAACAGAATGTCTACAGATTTCTGTGGCAGGCGCTGACACAGCCTCGGGATGAGATTTTCGCTGTGCCCAACCCAAACTTCGATGTAGTCCGTTAGGCCAGCCCACTCTATCGTGTTGCGAGCGATAGTGGGGAACATCAAAAGATACCCTTCCCGCCCTCCTGGTCTCAGGGCGAAAAGGAAGGGGGAGATATGAGGGGAGGAGAACGCTTGACCAGACAAGGATGGGGCTAGGTACCTCTTATTGCCCCCCAGATAGCAGCATGGTATGGGTCCACCTCCATAGAGATTATGCGACCCCCCCAAGCTCGCAATTGGCTTGCCATGCGAGTGGAGGAGTAGCCCACGTATAAGCCCACCTCCACCACGAGCATCGGGCGCCCATGCATTGCGATTACCGCGTCCAGAACGGCTCCTTTCTCGTCCCCGGCGAGCTTGAGCCAGAGCTCCTGCTCCTGAGTGAACGACTCGATCGAGCGGTGGATCGAAGGCAAGTTCAGCCTCTCCCCATGCTTCAAGATGTAGTGCAACGTGCCGATCTCCTTGTAATCCGCCACCGTGCCTGCAGCACGTTGAGGCGTGGAAGAATGCCGAGCGCTGCCTGGCAGGGTTTCTGTAATCTTCTAAGGGGCCCTCCCTCCGCTGGACACATAATGTCACCTGCACCCCCCCTACTCCCGGGGGTCACTGGGCGGCCGGGGCGGCGCCCCCTTGGGGCTCTCCAAAATAGGCTTCATACCCACAATCCAAGCACGGTGGCGGGACTTGCCGTAGGCAGCTGGATACTCCACCTTGTTCAGCCGCAGGCTGAATCCGAGCGGGTTCGTCACCCACTCGTGCTCTTCCTTCTCGCGCCTCCGCCACTCGACCTTCTGGGACCCTCAAGCTCCCCACGCCCTTATTCTGGACTGCGGGGCACCCCGCTGACTGGGGGATTAGACCCCAACCACCGCCTACTCCGCCTCGTCCGAATCCTTCGCCTGCGCTTCCTCGTTCCTCTGCCTCCTCCATCCCTCGTGCCTCCTCCTCCTCCTCCTCCTTCCCGTCCCACACCCCACCCCTCTGCAACACACAACGACCTGCGTCCACATGTGTCATGTCCCTACGTCCCTTCCTCCTCCGCTTCCGGCTTCTGCCTCCTACTGAACCCCCCCTCCCTCCTCTCATGTGCTGACATGCCCTCGCGGGGGGAGGCCACGGAAGACTCATGGAGGAGGTAGGAGGGTGGATGGTGGGGGAGGAAGGAGGAGGATGAGGAGGGAGGGAGGAGAGGTTATCCTCCTCCTCCTCCTCCTCCGCCCTCCCCCCTCCCCCCTCTCCCCTTCCTCCTCCTCCTCCTCCTCCTCCTCCTCCTCCTCCTCCTCGTCCTCTTCGTCCTCCTCCTTCTCCTCTTCCTCTTCCTTACTCTCACTCTCGGCGTCCCTGATCCTTCCCCCTCCCCCATCGATAAGTCGAATGTACCCTCCTAATGTCGCAACTCCTTCTCCTGGGGGAGGACACGTGGGGAGAGGGAGGAAAACCATAATAAACAAACGATGCACCACCGATGCTGCAATAAGCCACACCATCCCACGCGCCCTCGTCATACGCCCCTCCAAGATTGCCCGTTCACTGCGGGAAGTACAGCCTTGACAGAACGAACGCCACCATTGCCTAGCAGTTCAAGCGAGACCGCAATTTTGACGGGATGAGCTGTCATCCACGCCACTAGCTATGAAGACGGCGACGAATTATCATCACCACATCCGAAAAACTGTCCTATGATAACCGCACTTTTGGAAACGATCCGCCCTTGGCCCATGCCAACGCTCTCCAACCGCATCTGGTCACACACGCTAAAGAAATCTCGAGCGAATTTCTTGGAACGGAAACGCCACCCTCCATCCGTATACTTGCTGGCAACTGGTAAAACCGATGTGCACAACGCTAACACGATGATACGATATTGAAGCCGACCCCATGTATGTGTGTAACTGCTGGGTGCTACCGATACGAACATGCGCGGCACTAAAACGAACACCACCTATCGAACATGCACGTACCGCTATCTATCCGTGTAACTGTTGAACGCTGCCTCGACATAGGCTCGATTACATGACTCCCACATCGAGTGCCAGAGAACTGGTCCACTAGTTCCCTTCTAGTTTGCTTCTGACGACTGCAATGGTTTCCTCTGACCTTGACTTCCTCTGCTGTTGCGATGGCCTCATGCGGTTATTGCATTAGCAAGGGTGAATAGAACACATTTGTGTCAACGCGGAACAAAGTAAAACAGGTGCAGACAAGGAACAACGTATACCCGGAGTAGAGAAGAGGGTACTTCCGTGTATCTGATATAAGAACACTTTCGAGAAGAGTAGGGTACATGATCGGGTAGAGATGGGCCGGCTGGAGTAGAACAGATGATAGGCATACGAATAGAACACGGCAGGTTCGAGCAAACAAAGCGACACCAAAATACAGCAAATGGTCGCGTAATGGCAGGTAAAACACCGAAGAGATTAAGAGTGGAATAGGGTCCTGCCCAATCTAGTGTACTCCAATCAGATGCACTTCGATCCAATTGATGTCACTATTCTGATATGTTTGGAATCGGCGCTGGCTGATCTTAAAACGAATGGTGATACAACACAACCGCGTTTCGGAAATTACCTCCCTCCATCCGTGTCAGTGTTTGGATACTTGTGGTGGCAATGGACATACGAGACTATGGGGCGATACCCGCATGCTGACAACGACAACCTCTATACGTGTACCGACTGGGAACTTCCAAGACGACTGTGCGCGGCGTTAGTCTGAGCACCACACATGGAACAAATGATTGAAAAAGGAACCACCTTCATGTCATGTAGTGGTGGAACCTGTTTGGTGCGAGTGTCAGCGAGGCCTAATTGAGAACCGCACTTTGAAAACATCCCTCCCACTAGTGTAACGTTTGAACATGGTAAGCTTCGGTGTCACACACGGGAAGGACGTCTCAAACGAAACGCCATGGCCGCCCTACCCCCTTTATCGGATTCTGGTGGTCAGACGAGGAGGGGTTCTCTATGACATGGACTGGGAGTCGAGGGCGGGGGATGGAAGAGGAAGAGGAAAAGGGGGAGGAGGAGGAGGAGGAGGAGGAGGAGGAGGGAGGAGGGGGGGAAGGAGGGAGGAGGGGGGAGGAGGAGGGGGGGGAGGGGGAGGAGGAAGAGGAGGAGGAGGAACAGGGAGGAGGAGGAGGGAGAGGAGGAGGAGGAGGAGGAGGAGGAGGAGGAGGAGGAGGAGGAAGAGGAGGAGGAGGAGGAGGAGGAGGAGGAGGAGGAGGAGGAGGAGGAGGAGGAGGAGGAGAGAGCGTCCCTTGCGATGGTCTCCCCGCCTATGGACGCCGATGGCGCGCCTGCGCCGAGCCTCCCAGGCTCAAATTGAAGTAGTCCAGGGAGCCGCTGGCGTCGGCGAGGAGGCCGACCGAGCTGTCGGCAGCGTTGTCGAGCTGCTCGGAGTAGCTGGGGGGGAGAGAGGACGGGAAGGGCGTCCCCGACGGACTCGAGGTCCGTGATGGCGACACCGTCGTAGTTCATAATGAGCACGTCTCCTTCACCTGCGACGCTGTCAACGGGGTCGCAGTCGGGGAAGGCTGCGGAAAGAGAAGCGTCGTCGGCACCGCCGAACGCCACCTTCGCCACGGGGTCGATGGGCGCGTGGTCTGGGAAGGCACCCTCGCCTGCCACGGAGATACCATCAAGACCTTCGGCAGGAAGAGGTAGAGCACCCGACTGGAGCGAGGCGTCAGCGAGCACCTGGCTGCCGAGTGCAGGGTCGTCCTCGTCCTCAATGTCGCACAACATCGCGTCCTCATCCGCAAGGAACTCGAGGAAGACTGGCCCATCATCCAGAAGTTCTTGAACACCAGGGTCAGGGAGAAGTTCTCGTTCCGCGTCAGATGGCAGCTCATCATCTTCACCCAGAAGGCACGCAGGGTGGTGTAGCACCCATCGAATCATCTCCTTCTTGTCCGCAGAGATCATAGGGTACAAAATGTCCAGGGTACGCATCGCATACTCCACATGTGGTACGGAGATCTCGTCATGATGATCAGAAGCCTCTGCGAATGCTGATGCCAAGGCGCTCGCCGTCAGAGGGGTTGTCGCTGATGATGCCGGCGAGATCGGGCGCGGATCAATGCCTTGAGCTAGGGCCTACAGTGCAAGTTGTAGGGCAAGAGAGGTGTGCGGCATCAATCCTGACATCACGTCAGTGGCCGGATGCTCATTCGCCGTCTGTAGTACATGAGACGTGTTCGGTTGAGCACAAGGAGCAGGTTCGCGATGCGGCGGTGCGTCCATAGTAGCACCCACATCTCCACCATGTCCTTCATGAGCGTCGGCCATTCCCTCCTGATCTTCACGAGCATCGGCAGCGTGAAGAAGTGCTTCACGATGCGTGATCGGCCAAGCAACAAGCTCGCGGTGGTAGTTGGAGAGCGGACGGTTCGCGTCGAGGTGGTCGATGACGGCTTCCCTCTGCGCAGATGTGAGCGCAGCAGATCCGTGAGGCCCAGCGGCATGGGAGCCCAGCGAGCCGATGGCCTCGTGGATGTCGTTGCCAATGACCTTGAGAGAGTTCAGGATCTAGTCAGAGGGGCCGACGAACGAGGCCCATTGAAGCGTTGTTCCATCAACCGCATGCCCAGTGCCAGCAGCAGCGGGGCCCACCAACGCGCGCGCAGTCTTAGCAGCGGTACCGAGCGTGCCCAGCGAGAGGAGCAGGAGGTGGCGGTTCAGAACCCGATTCATGACGAGCAGGTGGGGGCCGATCTTCAGGCGGAACTCCACGCGCCGGTAGAGCAGCATCCACTGGTGGAACAGGTAGAGCAGGTGGTACCTCACCATCAAGTGGTCCTTGAGGTGCTGTGCGTCCAGGAAGGCGCAAGCGGCGCCCTCGACGCAGCGGTAGCCCCTAGCTGCGCCGTGCGAATAGCAGCCCTGGCAAATGAGCGAGCAGCAGCAGGCGCCCAGATGCGTGCCGTTGTCGAGTGGACCCCGCAGACATATGCATAGCACATTACAACAATATCAAATCCGCCGACCCTGTCGGCGTGTGTGAGGGGCTTTTCCGTTCGAGCCGTCATCTCCGTCATTCTTTGTACTCGTCGTCTCTGTCCTTCCCTTTCCCTGGGACTCCTCTTCCCCTGGGTTCCAGCCAAGCCGACCTTGAGCAACCTCGTAATTGAGTCGAAGGGAGCCCGGGGAGGGGGGGGGGGGTAGGGGGGGGTGCCGACCCCCCCCCGGGTCAGAGACGCTCCCCCTGGGCTCTCTTCCCCTGGGACCTTGAGCAACCTCGTAATTGAGTCGAAGGGAAGCCCCTTCCCTTTGATCCTCCCCCGCCGGGAGGGGGAAGGGGGGGTAGGACCCCCCCCCGGGTCAGATACGACGCCCCCCCCTGGGACTCCTCTTCCCCTGGGCTCCAGCCAAGCCGACCTTGAGCAACCTCGTAATTGAGTCGAAGGGAAGCCCCTTCCCTTTGATCCCTCCCCGCCGCCGGGAGGGGGGGGGGGTAGCGACCCCCCCCCCGGGTCAGATACGACGCCCCCCCCTGGGACTCCTCTTCCCCTGGGCTCCAGCCAAGCCGACCTTGAGCAACCTCGTAATTGAGTCGAAGGGAAGCCCCTTCCCTTTGATCCCTCCCCCGCCGGGAGGCGAGGGGGGGGTAGCGGGGGGCGGTAGCGACCCCACCCCAGGTCAGATACGACGCCCCCCCCCCGTACCGACCTTGAGCAACGTCGTAATTGAATCGAAGGGAAGCCCCTTCCCTTTCCCTTCCCCGCCGGGGGAGGGAGAAGGGGCCCCGGGGGGGGTCCCGGGGGAGTCCCGGGTCAGATACGACACCTCCCTCCCCCACCTTCTCGTCCTTCTCCCCGTTCCCCAAAACCATCCCACAGCCCGTGCCTCTTGCTGCGCATTGCGAACAGGGTCGGCGGCACCGGCCGTCAGGCCTTCGCAATAGAACCTTGTGCATTTCAGCAGCTGATCCAAGTGGCCCCAAGTGTCCAAGAGGAGTGGCAGGTCGGGAGTAGCCCAGCTCATGCCCAATCAGCTCACGAAAGGGTTTGCAGCAAAAGTAGTGTTATAAAGCATATTGTTCGTGTTGGCATCCGGATCTGCAGGTAAGTCGGCCACGTGGTTGCAATATCCGATGTGATGTAGACCACCCATTGTCCACCGTTTTGAGATACGCAAAGGACCAAGGAATAGAGCAACCACGCAGGTAACGTAGGGTGTTGTCCCAGCGTAGTGGAGGGACAATAGTGCACCCATCATGATACATCTCTAGGAACTGCTTGACGAGACGAGCGCTGAAGCAGTTCCAACAAGGGATATGTGCAAGACCTTGAAGGCCATGTGATGTATCTCTGAAGGCCAGTTGTGCGCGATGGTCTCTCCAACCACTCGTGAGCTGCGGACCGAGCCGCCGCCGGCATCTCGTAGGTGTAGTCGGGAAAAGTGGGTGAGCGTTCTCCAGCACGCACTCGGGATAACGTCTCAACGAAGGCCTCAGATTTCCAGAAGTGGGGTGCGGTCGGGAGCCCGCCGAGCAAATCTGGGATAGTGTTCGTCAGTCGCCGAGCCTGTCATGTTGGCGATACATCCATTGATGCAGGCGCTGGTATTCAGGAAGGGTAGAGCGAACGGTACGAGTAAGTGCTCCAATGCTCAAAGCGAGCCCGGATGGTACAGATGGTCCGCCAGCACCTCTAAGTCGGAGCCAGGCCGAAATATTGAAGACGCCGAGGGGGGCACGGAATGTTCTCGCGAGCGCCGCTAGCTCCGCGCGCAGAAACCATCTGGGCATCATCCTAAACTGGGCGACATAGGAGAAGACGGGCGTGATCCTGGTGGTGTAGTTGGAGGCCAGCCTGGAAACCGCAAGAGGGCTATTGCCCACCATCTTCGATCTGAGCTTAACTTGAAGAGGGGGGGGCCAGCCAACAAGAGCTCTCGTCCGCAGCAGGGCCCACGACAAGCCCGAGGTAGACCAGCTTACTCAACTTGGCGGCGATCGCGGTGCGCATGTTCTCGGCTAGTTGCTCGGTGAATGGAACGTGGAGCGGAACAAGCATGCGCTTGGTCAGCTTGAGCGATAGGGTAGCCACGGCCTCAGCAATGCGCATAACCTCGGCCTCAATCCGCGTGGCTTGGAGTTGTTTGACCACGCAACCAAAGTCATCTGCGCAAGCACGGGCGAGCCCCCGACGTTCACCTTCCAAGCGCTGTTGAAAATCAATAAGAAAGCACGACGTCACCGCCGCGTAGATTGATTCGCCGGGCGAGCACCCCCGAATGATGCCAGAAGAATGCGCCAAGCGAGGGTGGGCTGTCCATTGGGGATGACGATCGCATCCAAGAGGTAGTAGAGCTGCTCGAGGACGGCCACAAAGCATATGGGGCGTTCATCTGCCGAAACACCATCAGCATGAAGGATTGTGCCAAGCTCGGGAAGGCCGCGCCAAAGTCCAGCGCGAATAGGGATGAAAGGTCTTTACCAGCTGAAGGTGAGTTGAAGTCAGCGCGTGCTGCGACGTCCAACTGCAAGATGCTGACGCCGAAGCTCCGCTTCGGAATGTACCCTCTTTGCGAGCTCGGAGCCCAGTCCGTCAGAAGCTTGCTGACCTGGATGTTGATTGCCGCCGTGATCAGCTTAATGTCCGCGTTGCGAAGACCGAGCACGCGCGCGGCGCTGGGGGCACGAACGCAGCCAGACAGCCAGCAGCCAGGGAGTCGTTTACCTCCTCACCTTTGGGAAGCCAAACTTGCGGTGTGTCGCTGGAGCTCTTGAACAGCGACTGGCTCTGCATGATCCACATCATCGCATCTGCCAGCGCTTGAATCCCAATAGAGGTCGCAGCCCAGGCAGAGCATGGGATCGAGCCCAGGCCTGGCTCCGATTAGTGCATCCTGAGCGCGACCCGACGAAGAAGGGCAGGCGATGGCGGGGCGACCTTGGAGATGTCCAAGGCAGGGGCGAGCTTCTCGATGCAAGGCTGCGCTAGGTCAGCGTCGATCGGCTTCGCACAGAAGGTCGGGGCCCATTGCTGGATCAAGCGCTCCGCCATGATCGCCGAGTCGCTCGAGGCTCTGGTCGGGCCGGAAGGATGCTTGACAGCGTGCAAAACCTGCGATTGAGAGGGGGGCATATCCCTGAGCGCCGCTCGACGGCGGCTAGCTGACGCCGTAGGGCCCGAGGGGCGCGAGGCCGAGCGAGGCGCTCCTCGAGCCGAATTCAAAGTCCATCAGCGCGAAGTCTTTGGACTGTGTCGCTCCATTGTTCAGAAGAGGCAGGATGGCGAATAAGAGCTCTATGGTGCTGGATCCCCAAGAAGTCTCATGCCGTCCCGCGATTGCTGATGAACTGGCAGGCCAATGTGATGTCGTTTCTCCAGACCACCCTTGATATCTCTCTGGCCAGTAGTAATAGACTGGCGTTTGACTCTGGCGCCTGTTGAACGAGTCGGTCTCGATAGTCTGCGGCAACTTCACGAACCGCCCACTTATGCTGCTTAATCTGTCTCGGGGTCTCTTGTCCGCAAAGTTCAGCTTGTCGCAAGCAGCCTTGAGCTGCTGCTGGAAGCCCTCAGACTCAAAGAGGTGCCTTGGAATGCGGTGATATTGAGCAGGCTTGGGCGTCCTTGGTGACATATGAGCAACATGAGCAGCGTGGTCACTGACGTTCCGATCTGCAAGGTACTCAGGGCAACCACTTACATAAGGCTCCGAGGTAAACTGAGTCATGATCCATCCAGGCCAGCTGCTCTAGGATGACGACTGAATGTGAAAAGCGGTCGAAGTACGTGGGCTCGCCAGACGAGATCTCCGCCATGAAGCAAGGTGTCTTCCACCTGGCAGCGCGGGCATGTTGTTCTTTGCCTTCAGCAAGGCGTCGATGAGGCTGATGAGGGAGGATCGGAGCGCGAGGGGCAATGTTCAGGTCTCCGTGGGGTACCACCACGAGATGTAAGGGATCGTCTTGAGCCATCTTGAGATCCGCTGTCAACACCTTGGAGACACAATTCAGCTGAGTGATGGTCAGATCGTGGTTGTGTACATTGAAATGGTATATGCGGTAGCCGTCCAGTTCCAGCGCTACTCGTAGCACTCTACCATGAACCAGAGACCGATGAGAAACCTCAGCTGGGCACCCCGCAGGAAGAATAGTGGCGACTCCGCCGCGTACTGCAGACCCCTCGCAATAATTGGTGAAGACACGTGCGCGTGGGGCTGCCTTCGACAAGCAGTCAACGAGCTGTTCCTCGTCCTGCTGTACTTCCTGGATGGCGACTACGCCGCGGGTGCAGTCCAGGCGCTCGAGGTGGGCAGGCTTCGGCTTGGCAGACGCACCCTGGCATTGCAACAAGGCCCGCGCGTTCCATGATGAGAATGAGAAGGGGGGGGGGGGGGGTAACCTGCCAGACGTCCATGAATGGCAGCCGCGAAGCCGTTAAAGACTCTACTCAGCTGTATCAGGAGTGGAGATGATGCTCGTGATCGTTTCCGCCAATCGTTTTCTAGGCAGCCCGAGCTTCTGCGCCACGCTGTCAGCCCACGCGCAACCTCCGAGGCTGTGTTGTCAGGGTTGGGCGAGAACCGCGGGGCAGGATCCCAGCCCGGCATGACGTAGCCCCTTGCCGCGATTCAAGTACCACCTCTTGCTGCTGACCAGCTCTTTGAACGCCTCCCGAGTTTGTCGGCCTTGGATCTCGAGCTTGATCTGCCTTGGGTTTTTGTCGGCGCCGATGTGCAAGCTTGCCGGCTGGTTGTCCACGCTTCCACTGTCCAGGGGCGATCCTCTTGGCACCAAGAACTTGAGCGACCCTTCGGGACGCAGGGCCCGCAGCAACTGTAAATTGAAAAGTGAACTGCCTGGCGACGCTCTCGGGCGAGGAGATGGTGAGGAACTTCGCATCCACGCCGCGCTGGACAATCCAGTCGGCGAGGACCTGCTGGACCGCGGAGAGCTCGACGAGCTTAGAGGCCATGGCACGAATGATGGTGGCGTCGACTTCCCTGCCAAATCCAGCAGCACTGGCGGGAGGAGACTTTGGCTTGGCGCTGGCGAGAGCGAGGGCGCCGCGCAGCTCTTGGATATGTTCGCGCAGGGTCTGCAGAACGGCGTCGTGCTCATCGAGACGATTACCGCAGGCTCGTGGGCGAATCGAGCGCCCGCCCAGCTGCCCCTGGAACTTCCTTCGGTAAACGTCGAGCTTCTCGGAGCAGAACTGCTCGGATGCATCCTTGGCCATTTTTGGAAGCTGCTGCACACCTTCAGCCAGCCTGCCATCATCAAGAGAATGCTCAGCAAGCTGAGCAGCAAAATCTTTGACTTGGACGGCGACTGTCGAGGAGACCGCTTGCGTGAGGTCGCGGATGAGCTCGTCCCTGTGTTCTGCCATCTTTTTGGAAACGCAATCGCCTGCCAGCTGCTTGATGTAGTCGTCTTTGGTCCACTCGTCGTCGCTGTTGTCGTCGTCTTCAGAGCACGTCGCAATCACCCTGCGCGGTAGCAGACGGAACACCAGCATCAACTGACTGGCCAGAAGAAGTACCTGCGCCATCGTCGTGAGTGCGGTCGCCCACGGCCTGAACAGCTCCCTTCTGTCCTCTTTTGAACTTCTTCTTTCGACGGGTGATGACGCGCTTCGGCCCGTCTTCGTTCGGCATGCGGGGCGCGATTCCCTGGAGCTGAAAGAGGTTGGAAACTGTCCTCGCGTCTGAGGTCTCCACTCTGACCCCGAGGGCCATGGCGTCTGAAGCCAAAATGGTTACGGAAGGAGGAGGAGGAGGAGGAGGAGGAGGAGGAGGAGGAGGAGGAGGAGGAGGAGGAGGAGGAGGAGGAGGAGGAGGAGGAGGGGGAGGGGAGGGAGGGGGGAGGGAGGGAGGGAGGGAGGAGGGAAAGGAGGAGGGAGGGAGGAGGGAGGAGGGAGGGAGGAGGAAGGGGGAGGGAGGATGGAGGGGGAGGAGAGGAGGAGAGGAGGGAGGAGGGAGGAGGAGGAGGGAGGGGGGAGGGAGGGAGGAGGGAGGAGGAGGAGGAGGGAGGGAGGGAGGGAGGGAGGAGGAGGGAGGAGGAGGGTACCTCCTCCTCCTCCTCCCCCTCCTCCTTGAACTCCTCCTCGGTCTCCTCCTTCTCCCCCTCATCGATGCTTCAATTTGGTCCTCCTAGCGCCGCAACTCCCCTCGGGCTCCTGCCCTTCCTCGTCGAACTCCTCCTCGTCCTCCTCCCAGGGGGGAGCACGCAATTAGGAAGAGGGGGGAAGGAAGACGGGGGGGTGGGCGGAAGAAGGGAGGCGGGAGGGAGGGATGGGAGGAATGGGGGGAAGGAGGGAGGGGAGAGGGGGGATGGGGGAATGTGAGGAACTGCGGGGAGGAATGAGGGGAGATGGGAGGGAGGGAGGGATGGGATGGGAGGGATGGGGGGAAAAATGGGGCGGAAACGAAGGATGGGAGGAGGAGGGATGCGGATCATGGACCCGGCACCTCCGGGAGGAGGCCCGCGCAGGGCGCACCGAAGCCGCAGAAGGACGGCCCTGCGCCCGCAGCACTGGCCCTGCCACGATCTGCAACCGCCGTGCCGAGAACGCCGGGCCGCCCCGGGCTCACCCCGGCCACCCGGCTCCGCGCCTCGCGCCCCGCGATGCGCGGCCATCCTCGCGCCCCCGCGCCCCCGCGCGGCCAGCCCGGAGAAGGGCAGCCGCTCAGGGCTCAGGCCGCGCGCGCGCGGGGCGCGATCGCCTTCGCGCCCCATGGCTGTGACGCGGCGTCCGGGCAGAGAGGCCGGCTCCCGCGGCGGGCCCGCGCCCAAGCGAGGCCCGGCTCGCCGCTCTCGGCACCACGCTGGAGCTCGCCCCTGGGGCCTGTCGTGGTGACGGCAGAAGTGGCGGAGCGACACGCTGGGCATGTGTGTTCGGGGTCGGGGTGGTTACCTTGTGGCTGCGTCGTGTATGTGCCAAGATGATATTCGCCCCCCTGTCAGATCCCAGGTCAGGCCCGGTTTCTCCCTGAGGGCCCGGGCGTCGCTCGCGGCGTACGTAATACCCGGAGGCGGAGGCGGAGGCAAGAGTTCCTGGCCGCATGCACGGGCACCCGCTGGGGGCAGGCCAGTCGTGGGCACAGCAAGGTTGCACACGTCTTCCTGGCCTGGCCAGGATGGCATGCAACGCCGATCTTGGGCTCAAGATGGGCCTGGCCAAGCATCGGTGTCGCTGCAAAATTGTCATCGTCCGAAGGGGGCAACATGCGAACCGTGCCCCTACGCCCCTCAGAAATCATGGGGGTAGGGGTAGGGCTCGCAAGTGGCCCCCTAGTCCCTCGCATGCCCCCCACAACCTCTTGACCTCACCGTGCGCCCTTCTCGAGAGCGTGCCGTTCGCAGACACGGAGAGCCCACGCCCGCGCACCGTGCCCACCGATTGGCGAGTCCCGGCGCTGGAGCCTCCTCTGTGTGCAGACGAATTGAACGATCGTCTTTTGGCGGTCCAGAAATTCCGCCGTGCGGGCCGTGAGTGTGTGGTGCATCTCCTGCAGGAGGATGCCGCCCAGTGGAACCGCAACACACCACACCTCCAACGGCAACAGACGGTGTAAGGAGCCCTCTTCCATCGTGATGCCGCCCTGTCGACTGCAACTTATATAGTTCGTTTGTACCTTTTACTTCAACAAGTTGAGCTGCAATCTGCAAGCCCCTCTGGCCAAAGACGTCAATTAGGGCAACGAGTCGGGACCGTTTGGCGAACTGTTCCCCCTTGTCCGAAGCGCTGCAACATGTCAGCGGCCTGCGGTAAAGCCTGCGTCACGATCAAGTTGAGCCAGACACATGGCAAACAGTGCCCCTGCTGGATATCTCATTGAATTTGGAAGCGCCCGATCTCCATGCCGAAGACGTGCGGAACATAATTAAATCATCCTCCCACCCCAGGTACACCTTCGCAGCAACAATCGACGTTTTGCTCAGCATTGAAGCCAGTATTGAGTACAAGTACATAGTAAGTACTGCCGCTGAAGCTCGGATCTGCTGATCGTGTGACACCTGGTCAACGACTTCGCTACACCTAGCGTTGCATTATCAAGCGCCGAAGCAAACCACGGCCAATCCAGTTAACCATATTGCTGTTCCCAGAACTTCTACATCTTGTCACGCGAACGCAAATACATCACAACGCTACAGGAGGAAGAGGGAGGATAAGGTGGAGGATGAGGAGGAGGTCGAGGAGGAACAGGGAGTAGGGACGGGGGAGGGGGGAACTGAGAGAAAGTAGGAGGGATGGAGGGAGGGGTGAGGAGGAAGAAGGGAGGGAGAAAGAGATGAGAGAGGAAAGAGGGGCGGAATAGGGAGGAGCGAAGTAAGGAGGGAACGGATGATGGAGCCTCTGGAAGCCTCTACGGGGCCCAAGGCGGGCCGAAAGCGCTGGAATACCTTGGCCGCCGGCCGCCGAACACCGAGATCTCCGACGGGGTATCCTGCTGCACCCGGAAGAAAGCACACCATCCGAGCCGCCGCCGCGCCGCCGCGAAGCAAACCACCCGTGCATGCGGAAGAGTGCGCGATTGGCAGCTCGTCGGTTGGCAGCTCGTCGGAGAGAAGCACACTAGAGGCTGTGGCGTAGGTCAGCGTCGATTGGCGTCGGTGGGCGTCGATTCGCAAGAGCCAGCAAGGTGACATGGGAGGCTCCCGCGAGTTGCCGCAGAAGTTTGGGAGGGTCAGGGAACCACGGGAGTTCTGCGACGGAAGAGAAGCGCACTGGCGGCACACAAGCCAGACCAGGAATCGGGTGCACGCCAAACCAGGACGAAGCATGAAGCCAACGCTGCCAAATTTGGCGACGGTGCGCGCTTTCTTTTGTACGGAAGCGGGGCCCGTCGCTCTGCGCGCCTTGACCCATGTTGGTGCTTCCCGGAAGGCACAGGAGCGGACATCGTGGGGGCGGCTGGTGCCCACGCAGCCCCGCCCCCTCGCCGTGCTGCACGCGGAAAGCATCGATACACCGCCACCGTGCCTGGCTGGGCTCATTCTGGGCCCCAGGATGGTGCGTAGGATCCTCGTGGCCTAGGCCAGGAGGGCGGCAACATCATGCCAGGGCCTGAGGTGGCCCTGGCCAGGCACGGTGATGTTGCACAGAGGCCCCGTGGGCGTGGCGTGGGCCCCACTGGTTGATTCACGAGCCCAGATGGGGACGTGGGGCGTCTCCTTCGCGGCTCCATGCTCCATGGGTATGTCCCAGAAATTGGGGTGCTGAGTTGGTGGGGGTATGGATGGGGGTGGGGACAGGGGTCCAAAGCAGCCTCCTCCTTCTCCAGGGGCACAGGTCCGAAGCAGCAGCAGCAGCAGCAGCAGCAGCAGCAGCCGCTGCTGCTGCTTTGGACACCTGTCCAAAGCCGCTGCTGCTTTGGTCCGGATCGAAGAGAAGGAGTTGGTGGGGATCAGTGAAACGAGACTGACCGCCCGCCCTGCTGCACGCCTGGGCCCCTCGGCCCGCCGAGGCGGCTCCGAAAAGCCAGTGCCTGCACGACTCGAGGCGCTCCGCGCCGCGCTGGGAACGCCGCCGCGGGGGCCGCCGGAGGGCCGCTGGAGGCCCCGCCCGCGAAGGAGGAGGCGGAGGAGGAGCAAGGAGGAGGAGGAGCAAGGAGGAGGAAAGAGGGAGAGGGAGAAGGGGAGGAGGGGGAGGAGGACGGCGACGACAACGACGACGAGGCCTCGCCCACCGCACCGCGCGGCGCGGGCGCACCGGCCCGCTGCCGCAGGTGCTCCGACATGGGCGTGGACAGCCCCGCGGCGTCGATGGCCTGCAGTGCGAGCGCGGCGCGCCGCGTGTCGCCCAGCGCCAGGCTCCTCCGATGGGGGGCCGCCGCCGCCGCCGCCACGACTCCACCACTGCAGCGATCCTCGATCCTCCCCGTCCCCCGCCTCGATGACGAGATGGGGGCTGGGGAACGCTGGCCTGCGATGACGAGATGTGGATGCGCATGGGATCCATGTGGATCAGGGGACAGGATGATCACTGGACCAAGAAAAACCCTCAGTGAAATATGCCTCGGCTCGCCTGGGAAAGTGGCCGAGTTGCTTTAGATACGCACGCGCCGGCGCGCTCTTTCGACCAACGCCTCGCGAGCCAAGAATGCTCGAGTCGAAGAGTAAAACCTGATCCTCTTCTCGCACCTCGGGGGGACAAGGGAAGGCAGGAGAGGAGCGGGGGGAGGCCCAGGAGGGAACTGAGGGCCCCCGAAACCCAGCGGAGATACCGCTGAAAATAAACGTGCGCCAATATCGAGGGGTAAAACACACAATATGCATTCACAAGTCCAACAGAGGCGCCGCTCCGCTCCCTGCCTCGATCCTCCTTGTCCTCGAGCACCAAAACACCTCGGTCCTCGATCGTCCTCTTCCCGATAGCAGGAGGAATCAAGGGAGGGGGGGAGGTTCTGGAGGCCAGGAAGGCAAGAGGAGGACAAAAAAAGAGGAGGAGAAGGAGGAGGAGGAGGAGGAGGAGGAGGAGGAGGAAGAGGACCCTCTGATCTAACGTTGCAACACACATGCGACATCGCAAACTTACCACTGGAGCCCCGGGCCCCATCTTGCTGCGGCATTCACCGCGCTGGCTCGATCCGTGAGGGCCCTGGGGCCCGAAGCTGGGCGACAGAAACCCGTGCGAACAAATGACAACGCACGGGTCTGAGGGGGGGAGGAGGAAGGAGGAGGAGGAGGAGGAGGAGGAGGAGGAGGAGGAGGAGGAGGAGGAGGAGGAGGGAGGAGGAGGAGGAGGAGAGGAGGAGGAGGAGGAGGAGGAGGAGGAGGAGGAGGAGGAGGAGGAAGCGGGCGGCGGAATTCCCCCCCCCCCCCCCGCATCGCCGCGTCCTCAGCACCGCGCAGTTCCAGACCGCGGCCTGGACGCCGCGCGTGTGCCCGACCCTCGCCATGTGCTCCCAGACGGCGACCTCTCGGACACCCGCCGCCACAGCCGCGGGGGGGGGGGGGGAAGCTCTCCCAGGAAGGGGAGGACGGAGGGAGGAGAGGAGGGGAGCAGGGGGGCGGAGGAGGGGACGGAGGAGGCGAGGGAGGGAGGTGGAGGGAGAAAAGGGGAGGAGGGAGGGAAGAGAGGGGGGAGGAAGGGGAGGGGGAGGGGGGCGGAGGAGGGAGGAAGACGAGGAAGGATGACGCGACCAGCCACGGTGTTACTGGAGGAGGGAGAAGGAAGCGGAGGAGGAGGAGGAGGAGGAGGAGGAGGAGGTGGAGGAGGAGGAGGAGGAGGAGGAGGAGGACCAGTGTAAACCTAAGACGCATCAGCGATGTTGCAGTAAGCCTTCCCTCACAATTCCCTCTTCACAAGGCCAAAACAAGAACTTATTTTCATTGCTGGAGGTGCCCCATTGAAAAAACACCCGTCTGAGAATCCTCAATCGTGCGAACCATTCCTGGGACGTCAACGCCGCGAATCAACGTGAATTCCGTGTTCGGACAAAGAAATACGCATCATAACACCATTCCTGTGACATCGACACCGCGAATCAACCTAACTGTTGCGTCTTGATTCTTCGAAATCGTACCAAAACACCTGTCCTGGGAAAGAAACACTACGAATCAACGCGACTGTTGCACCCTGACCCTCCTAAACCGTGGACATACAACATTCGTGGGGCTTACACAATACGGATCAGTGAAACTGTTGCCAACGTTTGAATCGAATGTGCGCGGCGCTGAGGCGGCAACTACAGTTTGAAAAGGACCCCCCCTCCATCCTTGAATCGGCTGCACACTTTTACGACGAACGTGCGCGGCGCTGAGGCGAGAGCTATATTTTAGAGATCGCCCGCCCTCCATCCTTGAAGCTGTTGCAAACCTTGAAAACGAATGTGCGCGGCGCCAGGGCGAAAGCCACACTTTGAAAGCTGGGCGCCCTCCATCCTGGAAGCTGCTGCAACCTTTTGAAACGAATGTGCGCGGCGCTAATAGAGGGCAAAACATCCACCCGCATAAGAATCACCCCGACACGCAAAGCCGTCTAGTAAACGCACCCAAAGAAGGAATCAGACAAGGCAAGAATGTTTTAGTAAACGCCCAAGGCCGTTTAGCAACCGCCAAGTATCGGGTCCGGGTGGTGTTTGCTCCCTTGAGCTAAGGCGGGAGCCGCAGTTAAAAAACCAACCGCCCTCCAGCCTTGCAACGTTGAAATTTCAAACTTATGGATCATACATGGTGACTAAAACTCAAGCGAAAAGTTTGGCCCGCCCTACCGACACGTCCGGGGGTGCAATAGGGAGGAGCTATCTAGAAGGGAAAGCAATGGAGGACGAGGAGAGAAGGGAGAAGGAGGACGAGGAGGAAAGGAGGGGAGAGGAGGGAGGGAAACTGAGGGAGGCAAGGAGCCGCTCGCCTCGCTGCTGCACTCGACCCTTATTCGGCGGACGAATTCAAAAAGTATAAGAGCAGCGACCTCATGTTTCACATCATCATTTCTGGTTGCTCGTCTCCATTCTTCTCTTCACTGCGATCATTAACATCAGATTAGCTGCGATAGTCATCGAGGTTCAATCGAATCTCTCGTTCTGCGGCGCGGGCACTGCTCACCCCTATGTAACAGTGGGATAATCAGTGCCCTCGACGCGGAACAGCCTGCGTAACGCTTGCCCTCCTGGAACAATTACGCAAGGGCAATCGTTACACGGGCTCGTCCTCGCGTCACAGCTCCATTCTCTCGGCGAGGGCACGCCACCTGGCATGTCGCCCTCCGATTCGTCACCTCACTCGTGTACTGCTTGACCACCATCGGCCACTCGCAGAGAGGGCAGGGGGAGAGGTGCAGGCTTCTTAGAAGGAGGCTGCGTCTTAGAAGGCGCGGCCGTCTAAAAATGTAAGGACGGCGCGAAATGTAAGGAGGCGCAGCCTCCTTCTAAGAAGCCTTCCCCCTCCTCCTGCCCCACCTCTGCGCTCCGCCAACACGAATTCGAGTGCATGGCCCCTCCTCAGTCATAGGGCCAGGGCCAAAGGCTACGGCAGAAGTGCTTCAACGGCGCTGCCTTCGTTGCACACTGCTTACGCTGGGAGGTCGGTGTATCGGTGTATCAGTCGAGGGTGGAAGAGGTGGAGGAAGAGCCCAACCACAATCGTTCTGGTCCCACACGGAACGCCGAGTAAGGAACGAAGGAGCTCTTCCGGCCACGGCAAGCCTCGGCTTCGCATAGGTTCCCCGACCTAGATCTCTGAGGAACGGCTGGGAAACTAGAGCCCCTCCTGGGCCCGAAGTGGTTCTTGTTTCAGCGTCTTGACTGTAGCTCAGGACGTCGTTGCTTGCGCCTCCAGCGTAGATGCGCAAGCGCCTCCCTCCAGGCACTGCGACATCCAACTGGAGGAGGCACTGGCCTGCTGCCGTACTGCACATGACCACTTCTCTCTGTCTCCTCGCCTCCTTCCCTCCTGGCATCCGCAGCAACAGCAGCATGTGGCATTGATAGCACCTGGGGCATCGGTAAGCCAACCTCGAGCCGAGCGTGTGTTGCGTTCCGACTTGTTTGTGTTGTTGATGGCGAACGCCTCCATAGACGCGGCGGCTCTCGCTAGCCTATGCTCGTGCAGCGCAACTAGGAGGAGGAGGAGGAGGAGGAGGAGGAGGTCTCCAGATGCTCTGGAGAAGGAGTGAGTGAGGGAGGAGAAGGAGCAAGAGAAGGAGTTAGAGAAGGATGAGGAGGAAGGGGGCGCAGGCGAGGAGGAGGAGGAGGAGGAGGAGGAGAGGAGAAAGATGCCGAAAAGGATGATCATGATGATGCTGATGACGATGACGACGACGACGATGCTGATGACGACGACGATGACGATGACGATGATGCTGCTGATGATGATGCTGATGACGATGACGATAACGATGATGACGATGACGATGATGATGATGATGATGCTGATGATGATGACTATACTGATACTGATACTGGTTCTGATACTGATACTGATACCGGTGACGATGCTGATTGTGATGATGATGTTCATGATGATGCTGATTATTGTGACGGTGATGGTGATGGTAATGGTGGTGATGGTGATGACGACGAGGACACTGCTGATGTTGTGATGATGATAATAATGATGCTGTAGAAGTTGGTAAGGAAATGATGATGGTGCAGAGAATGCTGATGCTGATGCTGATGACGATACTGATACTGATACCGGTGACGCTGATGATTGTGATGATGATGATCATGATGATGATTATTGTGATGGTGATGGTGATGGTAATGGTGGTGATAACGACGACGCTGCTGATGTTGTGATGATGTTGATAATGATGCTGTTGGCGTTGATAAAGAGCTTATGATGATACTGATAATGATGCTGCTGCTGCTGATGATGATGATGCTGATGCTGTTGCTGCTGCTGTTGATTATGATGATGATGCACAAATGACGTGATGCTGACGGTGATGATAGTACTGATGAGCCGAGGTGGGCCTCCCGGCTCGAGTCGCCCGTGTCCCCGCAGATGAACAGCCAGTTGCTGTACGCCTCCCCGCTGGCTTGCAGCTCGTCCGCCGCCAGCCTGTCGAACAGGTGCCAGGCGACGCCCGTGAGGCCTCGCCCGCCCCCTTGCACCCCGGATCCTCGCTCCTCCACCGTCCCCCCTCCTCCTCTCTCTCCTCATCCCCCGCCTGCTCCCCCGCCTGCTCCGTGGGGCGACGAAATCTGAACGTATCCACCGTTCCCTGGCCAGGCCCGTCCTGAACCCAGCAATGGTGTATAGGCCACGCCCTCTTGACTTGGCCAGGAAGGCGGGTCCAGGTGAGTCGGGTTGGCCTGACGGGTCCTTCAGGAAAATAACGAGACCTAGTCTGAAATTTGACGCGAGCTCCCGCTGCAGACATCCCACGAAAGCTGGGCCGTGAAAATCCAGGACGGCCTCGTCGAAAAGCGTGGGCAAACCCGAGCTCCGGCGAATTCGAGTCTTACGCTTCCCCGATCCTTCTACGTCGTCGAGGAAGTACCCCGACCCATCCGCAACAAGCGGAAACAAATCAAAGAGCAGGGACGGAAAGCCCTCCGCTCGTGGGCGCAGCTCAGGTGGCGACATTGGCGCGCCTGGAGCAGTCGCTTTCGAAATAGGGATCTCGCGTGACCTCTCTGCAGATGTGTGACCAAATCTTGAAGGATTTTGGCGCTCTCGCCTTTTCGGCTTCCCGACGCTCCAAGACGGCCCAGGAGGCCCCCAAGATTACCCCCAAACGGCCCCAGATGCCCCTAATAGGGCCCCAATACGGACCAAGAAGCGCCCAAGAAGGCGCCCAAGAAGGCCTAAATTGGCCCAAAGACGGCTCCCAAAGCGGTCCCAGATGGAGAGCCCGAACGGTCATTTCGAACCATCGGCCCCGAGGGGCCCCCAGGAGGCCCCAGGAGGCCCCCAGGAAGCCCCAAAATGCTCCCAAGAGGCACCCGAAACTGCCCCCAAGCCCCCGAAGGCGTTCCGAAGAGACCCCAAGGAGCATCCCCGAGAACTCCGACCCGCAAGCCTGGCACGGTGGCGGGATGGGCCGAAGGCCATTCGATAGTTGTCGCCGCTTGGATTTACTCTGGTCCTCCCCTTCCTCCTCCTCCTCCTCCTCCTCCTCCTCCTGCTCCTGCTCCTGTTCCTGCTCCTGCTCCTGCTCCTCCTCTTGCTCCTCCTCCTCCTCCTCCGACGACGACGACGACGACGATCTCTCTCTCTCTCTCTCTCTCTATGTATATATATACAATGATAAAGCACAGGGTTTCGCAACACAGGTTTTCAAAACAAACTTGCGACTGTGCTCTTGCGAATTCGTGAAAACAATCAGCTTTCAGAATCCCCGAAAATGTTACCAAACGGGTTCCGCGCGCGCATGTCGAAATCGTTCGAACGCCTTTGCGCGCGTGCCGTCTCGAAAACCTTTTTTTGCAAAGAATGGGACGAAAAGCGCGTGCGCGTCGTCGCACGCGCACGCCCGAATCGTTCAAACACCTCCGGTTTCGTAGCGATTGCAAGATCGAGTGTCCAACGTACACATAAAAAAATTGGTTTCGCAACATCAGTTTTTTGTAACGTGCTTTCGCGCTTTTGCTGAGGCCTTGGGAAACCCATAAGTTTTCAACAACTTCATGGAATTCGGCCAAACGGGCGTCTGGCGCCGCGCGCCGAAATCGTTCGCGCGCCCTTGCGCGCGTGCTGGGGGGGAGGCACGATCGGTGTCAAATAACACCACGCGGCCCACTCTCTTGCGTCGGCCGCGCGCGCAAGTCGAACTCTTTCCAAAACCTTCATCACCGACGCGACGACGCCGTCATCGTCGTCGGCCTGATCAACATCGGCGCCCTCGCTGGCCGCGCCGTCGTCGTTGTCAACATCGCCGCCAACATCGCTATTAGTATCATCGCGTCTACCGTTGTCGACGTTACCATGATACCGCGCCCGCCCAAGTCGTCGACTCGCGCTGAAATGCCCGCTGGGATTTACACAGCGATCAGCGCCGCCGCGGGTCGGTCGCGCCAAACCAGCTGGCCGCTGCGCGTGCGCGCGTGCTTGGGTTGGCGCGGTCAGCATCGTCACCAAGATCGCTACTATCATCATCGTGTCTACCGTTTGTCGGCATTGGCATGATACCGCGCCCGCCCAAGTCGCCGACTCGCACTGAAATGCCCAGTGGGATGTGCCCAGCGGTCAGCGCCACCGCGGCCGCGTCGGTCGCGCCAGGCTAGCTGGCCGCTGCGCGCGCGCATGCGCGGGCTGGCGCGGCCGCAGAAATGCACCAGCCAACGCCAAACACTCGTCGCAATCGCCGCCGCATGGGTTTTGCTAACCAGGTTGCGGGTTGGCGGGTGGGATGTTTGCGCGAGCAGTGGAGGTGGTCAAGCGCGGTGCAGGGTAGTCAATTAAACTACATATATTCTTGTTCCCCCAAAGGGGAACTCGACCCCCCTGGGATTACCCGTTCCCCTTGTCGTATTGCAAGTTACATGCGATTCAGCCCCATCGTCCATCCTTAATACGAAGTCGTACCATCCCAGCCGAACCGTATCGATCCCCCCCGCCATCCGGTGCACCAAATGCTATGCGCGCGCGCTCGTTTATCAAAAGCCACAAGTTTTCAATAACCCATAACAGAACGAAGCAACAACGAAATGCAAACGCGCGCGTCGTCGCGCGCGCGAGCCGCAATCCTTCAAAAACTTCGGGTTTCGTAAAGATTTCAAAATCGAGTGTCCAAACCATCTATAAAAAACCTGGTCTCGCAACGCGGATTCCCCCCCAAAAAAGTTGCGCTCGCGCTTTTGCGAATTCGTAAGAAAACCCAGCAGTTGTGTCAACGGTTTCGTCAAATGTCACCAAGCGGGCTTTGCGCGCGGGCGCATGCAGAAGTCGTTCGAACGCCCTTGCGTGCGTGCCGTCGCAAGAATCCCTGGCAACAAATGGGACGAAGGGCGCGCGCGCGTCGTCGCGCGCGCATGCCGGAGTCAGTCAACAAGCTTCGGTTTCGTAGTGATTTCAAAACCGAATGTCCCGAAATCAGTTCACAGCACATGGTTTCGCAACATCAATTTTCAAAATAGCCTGCGCTCTTGCGAAACCAGAGGATAGCCATAGGTCTTGAACGTTGTCACGGAATTCTGCCAAACAGGCCTCTCGCGCCGCATGCCGAAATCATTCGCGCGCCTTGCGCGCGTGCTGAGGTGAGCACGATCCGTGCCGAATAACACCATGCGGGCCACTTTCGCGCGTCGGCCGCGCGCGCATGTCGAACTCCTTCTAAAACCTTCATCACTGACGCGGGGACGCCGTCATCGTCGTCGGCCTGATCAGCATCGGCTGCGTCAGTGGCCGTGCCGTCGTCACTGTCAACATCGTTACCAACATCGCTACTATCATCATCGTGTCTACCGTTGTCGACGTTGGCATGATACCGCGTCCGCCCAAGTCGCCGACTCGCACCGAAGTGCCCGCTGGGATGCGCCCAACGGTCAGCGCCATCGCGGCCGTGTCGGTCGCGCCAAGCTAGCTGGCCGCTGCGCGCCCGTGCTTGGGTTGGCGCGGCACCAGCCAACGCCAAGCACTCATCGCAATCGCCACCGCATGGGTTTTGCAAGCCAAATTGCAGGTGGGCAGGTGGGATGTTTGCGCGAGCATGGGGTGTGTCAACTCGTTTGTGAAAAAATGCACCACATATATTGCACCAGATATACTGCTCGCATCAACTTGATTGTATCACATAGGTTGGCCCACACATAGTGCACCACATAGATTGCTCCGAATAGTTAGCGCCACATAGGTTGATCCACATATAGTGTACCACATATAGCACCCACATCGACTGCGCACCGATTGCACCACATACATTGCTCCACATAGATCCGTCACCCTGCCGCGAGACGCGAAGAGAGCATTCATCAGGTCCTCATGTGTTCTCGGTCCTGAGTCCTGTGTTCTAATATTCTAGGGGCTGGAGCCCCAAATTCTCGGACTTATCGGGCTCAAACTAGCAGAGCAGCGCTCTGCTAATTTGCCTCAAAGCATGCACACTCGATGCTCTTCCCCTCATTCGCAGGGCGCTGCCCTTCTAATTTGGCTCAAAGCATGCGCACTCGCTGCTCATGCTTTATTCACACGAGGGCCCCAAAACGGTACAAGAGGGCCCCAAGAAGCACCCAAGAGGGTCCGAGAGGCCTTCCAAGACGACCCAAGAGCGCTCCAAGACGCCCAAGATGGCCCAGGAGGCCCCACAGAAGCCCCAAGAACGCTCCACGAGAACTTCCAAGATGGCCCCAGGATGCAACCATCGCTTATTTTCCTTGCGTTCTCGCGTTTTCGGACTTCCGACGCTCCAAGATCGCCCCAGGAGCCCCCAAGACGGCCCAATAGGCCCCCAAGAGGGCCCCAAGACGGCCCAAGAGGGCCCCAAGACGGCCCAAAAGGTGCCCAGGACGGCCCAAGAGAGCTTCAAGACTGCTCCAAAAGGCGAACACGAACCGATAATTCAAGCCTTCCGGCCCAAGAAGCTCCCAGAAGGCCCCAAGAGGTCTCCAAGAGGCCCCAAGAAGCGCCCAAGATGCCCCTAGGAGGCCCCACGAGGCTCCCAAGAGAAAAGGGTCAAAACGAGGCCCCAAGAGGCCCCCAAACGGCTCTCAGGAGGCCTCAAAACTGCACGCAAGAGACCCCCAAGAGGCCTCCCACGATACCCCAACGAACATCCGAGAGGCCTCTAACCCACAACCCAGGCATGGTGGCGGGATGGGCCGAAGGCCACTCGATTCGTTGCCCCCTGTGGATTCATCACAAGGGCGCCTGGAGTGCTGAACCCTTTCGCTTTTGGTTGTTTTTCCAAAAGAACTCTCCCTGGGGCTCCGGCCCAGCCCGCCAGGGTCCCGGAAAGGCCTGGAAAGCCCCACAAGAGGTGGTTGCAAACGGTTTTCCTGGCCAAGACGGCTCCAAGACGGCCCAAGATGGCCTCCAAGATGCATCCAAAACGGCCTCCAAGACGGCTAAGATGGCCCCAAGATGCCTCCAAGACGGGCCAAGATGCGCTCAACACGGCCTAAGATGGCCTCAAAATGGCCTCAAGATGGCCCAAAACGGCCCAAAAGGCCACCAAGTGGCCGCCAATACGGCCCAAGAGGCCTCCAAGATGTCCTCCAGGAAGGCCCGACGAGGCCAAAATCTTTGTTTTTCCTTTGGTTTTTGAAGGATTTTGGAATTGGCGCCTTTTGGGCTTTCCGTCGGCCCAAGACGGGCCAAGACGCCCCCAAGGTCGGCCCAAGATCACCCAAGAGGCCTCCAAGATGGCCCCATGACGGCCCAAGAGGCCCCCAAGACGGCCAAGATGGCCTCGAAGATAGCCAAGATGGCCCGAGATGGTCTCCAAGATTCCTTGAAGACGGCCAAAATGGTCTCCAAGACGGCGTCAGACGGGCCAAGAACCCACCAAGACGGCCCAAGATGGCTCTAAGATGGCCCAAGACGGCCCAAGAGGCCTCCAAGAGGGCCTCCAGGAAGGCCCGAAGAGGCCAAAACCAGTGATTTTTCAGTGGTTTTGAAAGATTTTGGCATATGTTTCTTTTCGGACTTCCGACGGCCCGAGACGGCCCCAGAGCTCCCCAAGATCGCCCAAGAGGCCTCCAAGATTGCCCCAAAACTGCCCACGAGGCCCCCAAGACGGCCCCAAGACGGCCCAAGAGGGCCTACAGGAAGGCCCAAGACAGTTTCCAAGACGGCCCTGGAGCATTCCAAGAGGGCCCCAAGTCGGCCCAGAGAGGCTTTCCAAACGGCTTCCGACGGCGTCAGACGGGCCAGGAGCCCACCAAGACGGCCGAAGATGGCCGTAAGATGGCCCAAGACTGCCCAAGAGGCCTCCAAGAGGGCCTCCACGAAGGCCTGAAGAGGCCAAGATCATTGATTTGCCGCAGGTTTTCGAAATAGTTTGGCATTTGCTTCTTTTCGGCCTACCGACGGCCCGAGACGGCCCAAAAGCCTCTAAGGATCGCCCCAAGATCGCCCAAGAAGCCTTCATGATGGCCGAGCGGTCCAAGAGGCCCCCAAGACGGGCCCAAGAGGGCCCCAAGACGGCCCCAAGAGGCCTCCAAGACGCCCAAGAGGGCCTCCAAGACGGCGTCGGAGCACCCCAAGCGGGCCCCAAATCGGCCCAGAGAGGCCCCAAAGACAACTTCCGACGGCGTCAGACGGGCCAGGAGCCCACCAAGACGGCCACAGAGGTCCACGAAAAGCCCCCAAAGGCTCCCAAGAGGCCCAAGGAGGCCCCCAAGGTGCCTCCAAGAGGCTCCCAGGAAGCTCCCAGGAGGCCCCAAGAATGTCCCCAGAGGCTCCCAACATGCCCCCTCCTTCTCCTCCTCCTCCACCTCCTCCTCCGCTTCCTCCTGATTTTCCCCACCATCCTCCCCCAAATGTTCCCCGAAGGGTTTCCACAACGGTTGGGGGAACGCATAGTCCGATAGCTTGGCGGAGCTCTTGCCACAACGCTCGGCCACATGGGCGATTCTAGAAGGCGGGGGGCGGCGGTAATTCGCCGTAGGCATCTTCGATAGCACCACATATATGGCTAGACGCACACAGTTTGGGGTCCACGCTGACTAACAATGTTCGTTGCATTTCCTTGCATTGCAGTGCACGGATTTGCTTTGAATTGCTTTGCACAGCATATCATTGCCACTGCATGTTCTCTGCGTTGTATCGAGTTGCACCTCACTGCGTTGCACCATTTTACATTGCGATGCATTGTGTTCCAGTGCATTGCGTAGCTCTGAATTTGTTTGCGATGCAATGCAGTGCATCGCATTGAATGATCATTGCGTTGCACGCCTTGCAGTACTTTGCAGTTCCATTGCTTGACACAACATTGCAATGCATTGCGTTGCATAGCCTTTCACTGGTTTGAACTGTGTCGTAGGGCATTGTGCAACATAGCACTGCGCTTCGTTACTTTAAACCGGTGTGCATTGCGTGACTGATCGTGACTAGCATGTTAACGGAGAGTTTGGGAAAGTGCTTACCAAAGCACTGAAGGGGTTTGCGATGCATCGCATTCCTTTTCCATTGCGTTGCGCAGGGCATTGAACGGAATAATCTGAAATAAAAATTCGTGGGGTTACCTTTAGCTTGCCCGCTCATTTTGCGTACAATCTGCCTGCCGCCTCCTGTCAGAAGAGAAACATTACAGGTGGGGTCCCGCCAGATTCATTGAAGTGCTGAGTTCCCTCTTCCACCTCTGACCCCTGCCGCGCCCTGTGCGTCACCTCCTCTTTCTGCTCCTCCCTCCTCTCCTTCTGCTCCTCCCTTCACTAATTCCTCCTCCTCGTCCTTTCCTCCTCCGCCTCCTCTTACTCCCCAGCCTCCTCCTCCTCCTCCTCCTCCTGCTCTTCCTCCTGCTCCTGCTCCTACCCCCCCTCCCCCTCCCCCTCTCCCTCCCCCTCCTCTTCCTCCTCCCCCTGCTCCTGCTCCTGCTCCTGCTCCTGCTCCTGCTCCTGCTCCTCCTCTCTGCTCCTCCTCCTCCTCCTCCTCCTCCTCCTCCTCCTCCTCCACCCTCCTTCGCATCAGCATCAACATCCCCATCATCCTATACACAACTACCGTCATCAGCTTCACCATCATCACCCTCATCACCACTGGCTTCATCCTCGCCCTCGCCCTCGTGCCCGACCTCGCCAACAAGGGCAAGGTGAAAGCCCTTGTTACGGCGACTGCCAAGGATGCTGCCACCACCGCCCCCGCCTGCCACCCGAACATATCCATTTATTACCCGGGGGGCAGGCAGAGGGCGCTGTATGCGCGGCCTTCGTCGCGCGCTCTCGACCGGCACGCCGTACCCTTCGGCACGACACACCTCGTGCAACGGACGCGCAGCTCCGCCACCGTGGCTCCTGGGACGTTGACTGTCAAGTGCTGCCTGGCAGGGTGTCTGCAGTCCTCCGAGGGACCCCTCCCTCTCCTCACAGAGTGGCGCGTGCACCGCCCTCCCTCCCGAAGGATCCTGGGCGGCCATGGCGCTGCCCCGAGGCCCCCGATGTCTTCCACGACGGCCCAGAAAAGCCATCCAGGCCGCCAAGATGGCCCAAGATAGCTCCAAGACGGACGAAACTGGATCCAAGGTGGCCCAACATAGCCAAGACGCCCCAAGATGGCCTCACGATGGCTCCAAGAGGCCGCATGACGGCTCCAGAAGGCCCCAAGAAGGGGCCCGAGGAAGCAAAAACCAAACGTTCTCTTTTTTGTTTGATTTTGTGATTCTCACGTTTCTGGACTCCCATTCGCTCCAGACGGCCCCGAAGCCTCCGGGATCGCCGCAAGATGGCCCGTCAACTCGCACCCACCTGCGTGCACCGCCCCTACTCCTGGGATCTCCTGGGGGTCCCTGGGCGGCCATGGTGACATCCTGGAGCTCTCCAAGGCTTTCATGAAGGCCCAGGACAGTCACACAGACAGCTAATCACAGACGGCTCCAAGAGGGCCCAAGATAGCCCCATGACGGCCCGAGATGGCCTTACGATAGCTTACAGAGGCCCCAATGACGGCTCAAGAAGGCTCCAAGAGGAGGCTCCGGAGGGCCCGACGATGCCCAAACACATTGTTGTTCATAATTTGTTTCATTGTTGGATTCTCACGTTTCCAAGCTTCCACCAGCTGAAGATGGCCTAGGAGGCCTGCAACATTGCCCCAAGAATGCTGTGCTGGCACTTTGGCGGGACTTGCCACAAGCAGCTTGACACTGCTACAGGCCGCATTCTGCTTGCCCTGCCATTTGCGCGTTGATGCTGGCGAATCGGTCTCGAAGCTCTTGGCGAGCCCTGGCTTCTTTGCTACAGGTCGAGCTCCGCCCATGTCGGGTGCTGCTCGCTGGCACTCCTGAAGGGGTGTGTAACCCGAGAAGAGGCGCCAACGATAGTATGACACAGGGGCAGAGTCAAGCGCTCAAGCGCCCCAAAAACCTGATAACAATAAACATATTAGGAGCGACAATGCGATGACTGTAGGCCACTGGCGTCGGAAACGTGCTCCCCCTGTCCCCGCCGAGACGGTGTAGCGACTGCACGGTCATCGCCAACTGGGCCCGAGAGCTCTTCGGCAGCGGCCTGGTCCGCGTCAGCTGTGCGTAGAAGTCGCCACCTGACTCGCCGTCCCCTCTGCCAAACATTATTTCTTTTTGCTAGACTGCCTTGCTCAGGTTGCCTCCACAAATGACTGTATACGTGTATACAGAACAACTCAACTCGCATGATGTACGGCCAAGACATGTGATGGGATTCGGCAAGACATTTCTACTTGGGGCGGGGGCCGCAATGACTGAAAACATCGATGTTTTCGGGAAAGGGGCCCGCCGGAAGGAAGGGGTCGGGGGCGAGGAGGAGGAGGACGACGAAGAGGAGACTAAGGGGCAAACAAGGAAGACGCCGAAAAGGAAGACACAGACGTGGACGAGAGCCAAGGGCGACGGTGGTGGCTAGGTTGGGCTCCTTAGCGTTTGAAATTAGAAATCGGCCTGGGTCCCTTCCTGGGGTTCTGTCCAGAACTTCGAGGCGGATCCAGCTGTGGCGACGACCTGGAAGCCCCGAAAGGTATGCAAAACACCCAGCACATACTCGCACCTCGTACCTTCTCGACGCGAAGGCCGCGACGGAGACGAAAACGAAGGATGAACCCAGCGCGACCTCAAGTAGAACACTTCCTATTGCATGTGCGCATTGCGTGGCATTGTTAAGCATATTGCTTGGCGTATTGCTTGGCATATTGCGGGGCATTGCTTGGTGTTGCGTGGCATTGCTTTGCGTTGCTTGGGATTCCTTTGCGCTTCGTGAAGGGCAACAAGGAATCACGACCAAGGAACCAAGGAACCAAGGAACCAGGACCAAGGAACCAAGACCAATGAAACAAGGAACCTAGCCCGAGGAACCAAGGAAGCAAGAGCAAGGTACCAAGGAACGGAGATCGAGGAACGAAGGAACCAGCCATACCAAGACCAAGGAACCACGGGGAACCCCCGTGTAAAGAAACAAGACCACAGAACCCTGGGACCCCCCTTGTAAGAAAGCAGGACCAAGAAAATCCGGGGAACCCTGGCGCGAATATGTGACCGCACCCACTGGTTCTCCACAAGCAAATGAGAATCCGTAATGCAAAGCCAACTCGGGGAAATTCTCTTCGACATAGGGAGTGGGGCTGGGCGAAATGAGACCGACCACGCGGAGAACCATCTCAGTCACCACCACCACCACCATCATCATCATCACCACCACCACCACCACCACCACCACCACCACCACCACCATCATCATCATCATCATCATCATCATCATCATCATCATCATCATCATCGTCACCACCACCATCATCATCATCATCAGCATCAGCATCAGCATCAGCATCATCATCAGCATCAGCATCATCATCATCATCATCCTCATCATCATCATAATCATCATCAGCATCATCATCACCATCGCCATCATCATCCTTCATCAATCATCCATCATCATCGTCATCATCATCATCACCATCATCGTCATCATCATCATCATCATCAGCATCATCATCATCATCATGATCATCATGATCATCATCACCATAATCATCAGCAGCATCATCAGCATCATCATGACCATGACCATCGCCACCATCAGCGTCAGCATCATCATTAGCATCAGCATCATCATCAGCATCAGCATCAGTATAGCATCAGCATCACAATCACAATAATTGTCATCATCATGTCTTCTCCTCATCCTCGTCCTACTCCTCCTTCTCAACACTTCCTCCTCCTCCTCCTGAGAAATTCCTGCAACGAGCTCGCCCCAACACAGGGGTATCATTTACGCGTGCCCAAGATGTGTGTTGGCAGTGTGAGCCGCCCTCGACGGTAGCTCAGACAAGGTAGCATACGTAGGGTATGTGAGTGATTTATCCTTCATGGGCTGAACCTGTTGTTGCAGAACGCTGTCGCCAAGCATGTAGAGAGCCCTGTGCCCCTCCCCCAACACACACAAGGTTGGTGAGACTCAAGGGGAGGCCCTCGGGGAAGGACCAGGAGGCCAGGAGGGAGCTCGCGGCAGAGGATTCTTCTCAGGTGGCTTCCGAAGGAATTGCCGCACGCGCTGCTCCGCGTTCGCACCGATTGGTACAAACAGCACCCTGGCTGACCCCGCTGGAACCCGCGGCCAGGCGTCGCACACCCACCGCATCGCGGACCCCTGTTCGATGATCTTCAGAACGTGTGTTAGCACCAACGTGTAGTTGTCCATCGAGGCGCTGAAATACGACGTAGGCGGCGCAACGAGGGTCGACACAGGCTGCGCGCTACCGGCGGAACCGAACGAAGTAAACACACGCTTGGGCTGACACGCGTCCTAAGGATCATATACCTGTCGGGTGCCTCCGCGATGTCGCTCGCCCAGGCAAGAGCCCGACCGGCGGTGCAAGCGGCCTGCTGCACAGGGCGATGCCGAGGTGCACGCGCGCGTCAACACCGCCCGCCCGGTAGCTGCTGGTACGTCCCAAGAGGGAGTCCAGAGGGCGAGCACGAACCGACATTTCGAGTTCGCCGCCTCAAGAGGCTTGCGGGAGGCCTAAAGAAGCGCCCAAGAGGCTCCCAAGAAGACCCCAAGCGGCCTCGTAAAATCCTGAGTGCCTGTTTTGGTTGGTTTTATTTACGTTCTCAGTTAACAAGCACACGGGCCGTCAGCCGTTCAGCCTGAAACTTCCTCACCATCCACTTATGACCCTGAGGCTTGAAAACTGCAACAGCTTCAAAGATAGAGGGCGGGCGGTATTCAAACAGTGGCTCTCGCCCTAGTGTCGCAAATTCGTTTTCAAGGTTTGCAACCATTTCAAGAATGGAGGTCGGGCCCTTTCCAAAATCTGGCACTCGCCTTAGCGGGGCGTATTCGTTGTCACACTTTGCGCATGTTTGCAACGTGTTCAAGGATGGAGGGCAAGCTCTTTTCAAAATGTGGCTCTCGCTTTCGCGCCGCGCACATTTGCCTTAAAAATTTGCATCAGCTTCAACGATTGAAGGCGGGCCCTTTCTTAACGTGGCTCTCGCTTTCGCGCCGCGCGCGCTCGTCGTAAACATAGGCAGCAACCCCAAGGATGGAGGGTGGGGTCCTTTTTCAGAATGTGGCTCTCGCCTTAGCACCGCACACTTTCGTCCCAAAACTGACAGCCATGTTAAGGATTCGTAGGTTTCACTCCCAGGAATGATGTTCTGGCACGATTTAGGACTGCCAGAACGCGACAATCACGTTGGTCGGCGGCGTTGAAGTCCTAGGAATGGTGTTCAAGTGCGGTTTACGACTGTCAGGGTGCAGCTGTCAGGTTGATTCGCGGCTTTGGAGTCCCAGAAACTGTGTTCTGGCACGGCTTAACATTATCAGATGGTTGTTTTTCAACAACGCACTCCCCGTCATGTAGATGCTGTTGGAAGCGGGGGGCGGCGGACTCCGCAGGAGTGACATGTTTTCACTCGCTGCTATATTCTCGTGAGCGCCACTAAGTCGCCGCGTGGATCAGCATTTAGATAATTATATGTTGACTGCTGCCTACAGCTACATGTAAACATTTCCCCAACAAACACTACATTGCATACAATCAAAGGAAGGTTGTAATTAAACGACAAAGGCTTCGGGCTGGCGGCGTGGGCCAAACAAAAAACAGCCATGGAGAGCTGACTAAAGGCCGAGTGCCAAGGCCCATCCCTACACAGTGCGAGCACGCACGAGCAAAGGCCCCAGGAGCCACGAAACGCAATTATCCAGGCGCCTCGCGCCCGAAACGGGAAGGGGCCCACGCGGGCAACGTCAGAGGCTGCTTATACATCATTCAAGCGCACGCACCCCCGTGCTATTGCAAGCGGGGGAGCGGCGAACTCCGCAGGAACGACATGTTTTCACTCGCTGCTATATTCTCGCGAACACCGCCAAGTCTTCGCGTGTATCAGCATTTAGATAATTGTCTGCTGACTTCTGCCTACAGCTATATGTAGAGATTTCCTGGGTCACCCAAAACCAGGATGTGCTCTCAGACTTGAAAAATTGACCTGGCCTGGGGCGTAAGCGCAGACGCCAATGCGCGATTGAGGGGCTGATGCCGGCGCGCCCGGTGCAAGTCCTTTGTAACTTAGTGAGCTCATCGGGGTGAAGGTGGCCGACGAAGGAAACGGGTCCGTCTCCTCCATCTGGTGCCGAACGTGCAAAAATCTGAGACAACTGTAGCGACGTAGGATCTGTCCGCGAGTGAAAAGGACTTCTGGGTTTTAAACGTGTAGCTACTGTGCGGATTCTCCCAAAGCCATGGGGTGCCTGCAGAATTACACGCCGATATCATTTTCAATGTAATTCGCGAGCGCTTATTTCCGACCTGATGCTTGGCCCAGGTCAACTGGGGACATCTGGGATTGTTGAAGGCCCCAAGCATGCGCCGCACTGCAGATCGGGGCAGAGCGGTCCTTCGCGAAAGAAAAGGAAGAGCAGGGGGGGGCTAGCATCACGCCGCGATATATTGTGGCACTGATGTCCGACAGGAGGCGCCGAAGGACGCGCGGCCTGGCCAGATCGCCGCGGCTGCCGTGGACTTCTCCCGCGCGCGCGCCTGGAAACCGCGCCTCCTGATGGCCTTGGCGACGCTGCCCTTGCCGGCGAAGGTGTCCGCGAAGTTCGCGTCGATCGCGCCCTGGCGCCCCTGGGCGGCAGCGGGGTGACCGGCCCGTGGAGGATCATTGCCTCGGCGCGCCGCTCGCGCTCGGCAGCGTACCTCTGGACCTCGACCGGGTGCTCGCGGTGGCCGACGGCGAGACGTGCGTGCCGTTCGTATCGCAGGACGCTCTTGTCGCTGCGCCACTGCCCCCTCTTCTTGACGTCCACCAGCGTCCGCAGTGCGCGGGCGGCATCGATGGGTGGCCCCGAGTGCCGTGCCTGGTAGGGCACCAGCTTGGGCACGTGGATGGCCTGCGCCGCACGGCGGAGCTCCTTCGGCGGCTCGCCGCAGTCGAAGGCCCAGAGCGGCCCGTCGCCCGCCGCCGCCCCCAGGCGCTCGAGCGCTGGCCCCATCCACTTCGCCTAGGCCGAATCCAGGAGGATCGAGACGTTGGCATCGCCGATCTTGCTGCGACTGGCCCG